TATTTATTTATTTATTTATTTATTTATTTACAAGTAGACCGAAGGAATTGGATTAAATATTGAACATTTTTTGATAATCAGAGATAGAGTCCATACCTCTTGCGAAGCAATCATCATGCAAATATCAGGGCTTAGTTGTTCGAAGGCCGATTAGCGCTTAACTCGGGGTTAAAGTTTACCAGGGTTTCTTTTTCTTTTGTTCAAAAGCATTTTCTCGGATAATTTTCTCTATTATTTTTAGAGCTTGCAATCGTCAACTTGTAGACAAAAAGAATTAAAGTGAAATTATTTTTAAGCTTTCAAATCTGAATTCAAATCTCGCACTAAACCTGGGTTATCTTAACCCAGCTTTGAACAACTCGGCCCAGGTTGCCCGCTGATTGCTTCGCAAGAGGCATAAAACTCTGAGAAGCAACAAATGTTCAATATCCAATCCAGTTCCACCAGTCTACTTGTATTCTGCTCTAGTTCAGCTATTAAGCAACCTTGTAGTCGATGAGGACATCACCCTGGTATTTTGTAAAATTTATTTATTTGTTCATTTATTCCATTTTTACATATCATACGACATTGAAACAAGTGTAGTTAATATTTTCGCCCCTACCGGCCATCCTAACTTCCATTTGATATCCGGAGCATTAAAGTCTCCCGCCACAATTACGTTGTTTGAATTCAATCTATCACCCAGTTTGAATAAAGATAATTCTAGTTCTTGTAGACTACAGTATGCATATCATTCATACTAGGTCGATAGAAGGAGGCGAGGAATAGTGATTTTGATCCCTTATTTTGAAACTGGCATTGAGTCCAGATAATCTCACAGTCAGTATTTAGGTCGTCTCCATGAAATTTTGGAAGCTCAAATCCCATATTCTGTCATTGAGGACACTTTATTTCAAAGTACATTTGCTATAACTATCGGCCGGAACCCATTTCGTTTCTCCTTATAATTCAGGCCCGGGTTTATTGCTCAAACGTTGGATAGCGCTATCCACCGAATAAAAATCTTTATTATATAAACTGCAGTGTTTTACAAGGATTTCTACAACCGAGAAATGTGGTATCTGAACACACGTAAAAATACAATATTTTTACATGTGAAATTATTGATATTTGATAGTTTGAGAACATTTTAACCATTTATCTTGTCTTTTATATTTTGAACAAGATACCGGACATTTTTAAAGAGATATGGAATTTATCTTCTCGTGTTCACATTCGATATCTCACTCGTTCGCTGCGCTCACTCGTTCGATATCGATATGAACACTCGAAGATAAATTCCATATCTCCGCGCGACCATGTATTATTCTCTATATCCAGTGGATAACGCGATTGGTTTCCCCAATACTTATTCGCTGGATTGTGATTTATCCGGTGGATAGCACTATACAACGTTTGAACAACCGGGGCCTGGTTATCCCAGAAAGTTTTGAATAACATTAGCCCTAGTTTGTACAATAAAGCAAAAGCTAAGGATTCTGGTTGTTGTAGTAGTAAATTGATGCCATCAATTTAAAGCTGCATTTTTAACTTTCATGTTTAACCGAAAAGGTATTCCACAATTACTGAATTAAAGTTAGCGGCGTCATTTCAGTTACAAAATACTATAGGTTTATTTTGATCCGTCGATTATACCTAACTGTTGTTATTTTGTGTAGAAGAAATCAGAATTTTTAATACTTTTACTAAAATGATTGTTTCAATTATTGTTGATAGGTAACGAACAATTTACAGACTGAAGGTAGAAGACTGGGAAGCATGCACTATGCCGTTGGAATTAAAATTTACAAATTACTTTCAGTTGGAATGTATAATGTCGCATAAAAAATAAATTGAATAAAGTTTATCCACTTTCTCAAGTATATAGCGCAAATTAAAGAGGAATAAATGAGAAGCAACGTACTACACTAAAATGCATTTTTGTGTCATTTTGAGCCGTTAAAGGTTTATTTAACACCACATTTCAGAATCTATATCTGCTGTAAAAGTTCAGTTTCGAATTAAAAATTACCCATGAATACAAACATTTAGGACACATTCATATATGGTTAACCTCGAAATAAAGTAAAATATTTAGAAATTCTGGCAAGTAAGTGTTTGAAATTTGAATATAAACAATAGACAGAGTAATAAACAGGTCTTTTTCCCGTTGGAATTTGTGAATTTATTACTTCAGAGGGAGGCTAAGCCTGTAAAAATGCGTCTTCACTTCTTTAAGTCAGCGGTCATAGCGAGCTCGAAACCGGACTACTCTGACTTAGCTGTTCCCCTACGTCTTGATATAGATGTAAGCTTCATCTCAAGTGGCCAACACATTCTTCATCACATACTTTAGATAACAACGATAAAACGCAGCGTTTTCTTGATTTTCAATTGATAAACTCCAGGTTTGCTTTAGTCCTTGATCTTGCAGATGGACATTGGCATTAGCTTTTAATATTAAAAAGTTAACCTAGTTTCACACCGTGTAAAAAAGTAAAAATAAAACCAAAAAAGGACATAGGGAATACACAATTTCTTCAATTACCACAACTGAACTGTAAACATTTTCCGCAGTAGAACTTTCGCAATAGAATATTCACCAATGCAATTTTCGATTAATTCAGTGTTTGATTATAATTAATTCTCGACTAAATTCCTCCCCTTATTTTTGAAACAGACAGGTGAATGATGGCAACGCCTGTGGTCCACATTCAAAGTAAAGCTTCATTTCCTGAATTTATTGCGGGCAAACAATAATTTTTGTTGATTTCAAGTGAATATTTTGTCAACTGTTCTCGGCATTTGAACAGCTAAGACCAGCTAATCAAATTATGGATAAACGTCGCTAGGTCTGTTGTTTCGAAGGGGTTACATTTTGTCCCTAAATTTTCATTTCGATCCTGCTGTTTTAAAAACTTTTAATAAAAAACTAAGTACTTTCTAATCTCACGAGCTAAAATATGTTGAATTCAGTCTTTTTTATGAAAGCGTGATATCATGTAGCCATAGCAACGTCGGCACCAGACGAAAACTGAATGGAAGGTCTTTCTTTTAGCCATTTGAAAGAAATTCGAGCAGATTGTGGGTGGAATGCATTGTTAAATCAATTTGGGAAAAAATAAGGTTGTCTGTTCGACATAAGTTTAGGGGGAGTAATATATACCTCCGAGGTTTAATAGGCATTGACTACATCACCACCAACATCCCATCATTAAGAAAGTCAAGCCAGCAGCATTGAGTGAAAGTGGTAATAAAATTTTAAAAAAATTACCGAAGCTGTCATAGCAACGTTACAACGTCATGGCAATTCGTCTTGTGGTTCTTTTTTATCCCCAGAATTATTCACGGTTACATGTGCTCTAAGACCTATATCAAAGTATGAACAAACTCTGTGAGGGCGTCACAGAACTTTTGGGGCCACAATTACCGTAAAAACGGAACAACCTTGATAATTGGCTGATATGTAAAAAAGAAAAAGAAAATCGAGGCGCTTTAGTTTCATTCTTTTTGAAAATGTGCCCAAAGATTTCATTGAGATATGCGCATGCCGGCTGAGGCGATTTGTAAATATTTGGTCTGTCCCTAGAAATATGATGATAATTTGGTAACCGGTCAATAAATTACTTTTTAAAAATTTGGCGTTCCCGAGAACGACTATCATTTTTTTATGGCAGCGTAGTTGCAAGGTCATTGACAGCTTCTAAGGCCACAACAAAGAGCTTTCGTTGCGCATTTTGCTGTTGTTATTGTTTCGGCAATTTTCTTGTTAGCAAGTGAGAATCTATCCCGACTGTCTCAAAGTTTCATATATGGGTGAATAGCGATATTTCTTTTGAATATACTCAAGAGTAAAATCAGTTATGTTAATTCAACAATTTTTTTAAGCTTATACCTAAAAAAATGACACCAAACATATAAAAAAGGAGAAAAATCCAGGAATTAGAGGTTTCCTTAACCACGTTATGTGACTTATTACCATGATAATTACAATCCTCATGACTTGTTTAGCTGCACTAATAGATGGAGCAAATTTAACACTGAAGTTATTCACCTGGACCATAAGGACAACCTGGTGTTATAGTTAAATGCTGAAGATAATGTCATCCGGAGATTTTTGTATCAGTACTCGAATAAAAGAACAAACACTACGAGTTCTTAGATGGACAATGCAAATCTAGGGTACAATACTTCTTAGAAAAATAAAACTATTTTGATGTAAATGCAGCCTACTGCACTGTTGACACAGACTTCGTTGCTTTTCGATTGAAAGAGGGGGAGAGTAAGAGAGTCTATTAGTGTAAGATTTTAAACACCAAGAGGTTTACTTTGGGGTGAAGACTGGAACATATATCATCATGGAAGGTTTTGCGGTGGTTGTCCTTGTGGCATTTGTTTTCGGTGCTGCTCATTGTCAAAGTGACAAATCTTTGGCTTTGGTAAGGAATGGAAGGTCAAAAAAGAGGGATATTATTGAAAAGAAAAAGCTGCTTTCATTTATTGAAGCTAATCCATGTTGATGTAGTCATCTAACTTTCTTAAAAAGACCTTGAAAAAATTTCAAGGTCAATTTTGCTGCAAATATTTTTATGGATATTTCTATCACTGAACGACCTTTGAAATTCTGTGTAACAATTTAGTAATATGTTTCTATTTTTAATGCTGGGTACCATTACGGAACACGCTATAAGCCGGAGCTGAGTACAAATTTCATTTCATATATTGTGTTAACAGTATATGCTGATCAGCTTAAGTGATGAGACAGCAAGTAGCAATTAAAATTAACTTTTATTGAACGTCATGGTTTTAATCTTTAATGAGGAGCCAGCTATAAAAACTAATCCTCTTAAAGGCTAACTGAAAAAAGAATGATTTTTTTTAATCATAATGTACTGTAGAATTCATTACAAGATAGCATTTTAGACATTTTTTTTTTGTAGAATTCATTACAAGATAGCATTTTAGACATTTTTTTTTTTTTTTTTCATTTTTCTTTTTATATTTCAGAATTTCCTCACTCAATATGGGTACATATCATCCTGGCGTAGTGGCAACCATGATTTCTCGACAGCCATCCGCAAGTTTCAGGAATTCTCTGGTCTAAAAATCAGCGGTATTTTGGACTCTTCAACTGTTAATCTTATGAAAAAGCCTCGATGTGGTGTTCCTGATGTAAGTGAAGGAGGCCGTTTCCGAAGATATGTTACTGGAGGTAAATGGTCAAAGACTCATTTGACATATTACGTGCAGCCAGGGCAAGACCTACCTCAAGTGAGTATAGAAAACCATTGTAAAAATTGAAGATAAGAGATATGGGCTCGAATATAGGCCATTTATTATCGTCGTCTCTACTGTCATCATCATCTAATTACAATCATTATCGTTTGCAAATATAACCACACGTCTGTCTTGTAAGACACATGCAAGCAGCATTCGAAAATTAGCAATTACTTGCTAATAGCAAAGGCACGAGACGTTCTGTTTGCCCCATGCGAGGGGGTGCAAGAAATTGGATTCTGAATTCCAAACCGTGCATTCCAGATTGCATGTACTGGACACCAGAATTTGTCAGTGGAACTTGGATTCTGAATTCTAATCTTAAGTGGGATTCCGGATTGCACAAGCAAAAAGTTTCCCGATTACCTTGCAAGGGCGAATCTGTCCATATACAAATTGTTATTAAATTAATGCTGATGGAAGCAAGGGCTACCGATAGCCGACATATTAAAGGATTTTACAATGGTTGTTTCTACGTAAAGTTATATTGATCCATAGTAAGGGATGTATTAATCATATGGTGCAAAAATTGACCTCGAATCTGTGATTTAACATTGTTCTCATAAATTTGTGCACAGGATTTGCAAAGGAAGATATTTGGCGACGCCTTGCAGTTCTGGGCTGATGTGTCTGGACTAACTTTTAGTGAAGTTAGCAGTGCGAGAAGTGCTGACATTAAAATCAGGTAAAACACCTTTTCAAAACGATTACACAGAAAGAAATATCCCTACAAGGTGCTAAACAACATTAACTAAGAAGCCATACATACACTGTAAAACGCTAAGTGGCTATTCCCCTGGTGAGTTAGTTGTATGTTGTTGTCAGTGTATATTTTTCAATAGTTGGGGTATGAGCTTCTATATTATTAAGGTGGCTGAACACAGTTTTGGCAGTTTGTGAGTATATGTCATTTGCCAAATCATGGCAAGAGAAAGGTTCCAGCTCACAAACTGAAATTTGGCAAGTGAAAAATATGCTGACGAAAAGATTTTGATTGACAGGTAGAATTTGACGTTTCCGTAGTTTCCATGGCAACATGAACGATTGAGTACAACCTTAAAATTTCACTTTTGTTCAGTTTACATAAAATTCGCTAATTACATTTTGTATAAACTTGCACACAGCTTACTATAATTAATTATTACCATTTGAAACTTATTTGACCAAATTTTAACAGACAGGTTTTTAGCTAATCAATAATATAATGGTATTGTACTTAATAAATGTGTCACAAAATTCGTCTGTTCAACTTTCATTTTAAAGTTCTCATTATTTAAAATACGATAAAAGTAAAACTTCTGCCAAAAATCAAAATTTTAATGAGTAGATTTTGAGAAATCGCCTTCTGTGTACCATTGCTTTTTTCGCCACCACGTTTGTTTGTCTAATTTAAAACACGCTCCGTCACGCGAGTTACCGCTGACCGCCCAATAAAACTTTGTACAGCCACCTTAATTGTACTGCAAAGCTAGTAAAATAAAGAAGCAGGGTGGATTTTTTTATTCTGCCAGAGAAATGTGCACTCATTGGTCATGTGTGTGCCCTTCTAATCAATACAAACTCGTATTCTCAGTTTTGGAAGCTACAGACACAGCGGTACAGATGCGGAATACACTTGCTGGCATCCATTCAACGGACCTGGTGGTGTATTAGCACATGCGTATTACCCTCAAGACGGAAGAGCCCATTTTGATGAAGACGAAACATTCACCCACAATACCCCGTCTGGCACCAATCTCTTGTGGGTTGCAGTACACGAGTTTGGACATTCTTTAGGCCTTGCTCATTCAAACGTCCGCCACGCAGTGATGTACCCTTACTACACAGGTTATGTTCCAGACATGAACCTCCATTCTGATGATATCGCTGGTATACAATACTTATACGGTGAGAGACAAGTGAACGCCCATGATAGGAGTGTAGTGTGACAGATCTCTTCATAAAATTATTAAGAAACTATAAATTTTACATAGACCTAAAACAAATAGCCCCCAATTCAAAACAGGAAAAGCAACATAGTTACGTCCTAGGCTTTTGTTGTCGTTGTTGTTGTTTTGTTTTGTTTTGTTTTGTTTTTTGTTGTTGTTGTTGTTGTTGTTTTTTTGTTTTTTTTTCATAAAAAAAGAACCCCAAAGCACACAAAGCAAGTCTTTAATTTACTGCAGCTCATTGCTATCTTTGACGTCACCTAGTATCTTTTTAAAGTAATAAAAAAACAATTCTCCAATGTCTACATAAAGTAAGTAAAGTGTTTTGGAAATTGCGCCCAAGGGACTGAGAATTGCAAAATCAACACCCGCTTCATTGCTGTGGTCTAATTTACCCTCAAAGGCCAAAGTTACTGAACAATTAGCGCGAAGAAAAAAAAAACATTCAGTTGCTGTAAAAATAATGATAATGATAATGATTGATAGTGACAATGACAAAGAAAATGATTTAAATGGTGATGATAATGATCATGAAAACGAAAATAATAATGACAATGAGCAATGACAATGACGACGATGACGATAACGATAACGATGATGACGAAGAAGACGATAATGATAACGATGACGATGACGATGACGACGAAGAAGACGATAATGATAACGATGACCATGACAACGATAATGATAACGTGAAAGGTTTGAACCCAAATTAGGTTGAGTTTGATCGTCCGTGTGAACGAAGTCATGAATAGGACTGTTGTTGTTGTTGACAGTGACTGACAGCGACAACCTGTGCGGTAGTCATCTTCAGAGTCAAAGTGAGTTGTATCACGTCAGTTGATGGTATTATACTATGGTTATTGACCTGAATGGTCAGCTAAGTCGCGATGTTATTGGTCGTCTGTCAGTTAAGTCGTGATAGGTCACTGATCAGTCACGAAGAGCACAAGGTTACAGAAATCCGTCACGGAAATCGCGCCAAAATCACCCTTCTCGTGTGTGAACAGAAGCCCTATTTTGTATGGTTTCGTGCAGGCGCAAAAGCTCTCTGTTTAAACTCGAAATTGCGAGAAAGGGTCTCATCATGGCTTTACTGACCGACGACCAATATCATCGCGAAGTAATTGGCCAATCAGGTAAATAACCAGAGTATTATATGATTAATACAACGTGATACAACTCACTTTGACTCGGAAGATGACTACCGCACGGGTTGTCGAAACGTCAGTCACTGTCAACAACAACAGTCCTATTCAGGACTACTTTAAATTCTCCCGGACGATCAAACTCAACCTACTTCTGATAATGATAATGATAATGATTTTTTTAAATGTATTCATTATAGGTCCTAACACTGGAGGTGGTGGTGCACACACTTCCACTCCTACACAAGCTCCCACCCAAGCTCCCACCCAAGCTCCTACCCATGCTCCCACTCCTGCTCCACCCACGACCACGGGACCAGGCAAGTATATTTAAACATGCAAAGAAATAGGCATCCAGGTAGGGTTAGACCTTATGACCTTGGAGGATCATAGTATTCAACTCATAGTTATCACTTCTTAGCTCATCTCTTTTTAACTAGCAGCAGGTTGCAGTCTGTATCTATTAATCAGTTAATGTAACTTGTTTGAACCCAGGACTGTCATGCCCAGCTGACTGAATTCCTAAGACAGCGTGCATCCGCAATATGACGACAACAATAAAGTGATTTCTTTTCCCTTTTTCGCAATGGCAAAGCAATGGATTATAAGCCGGCATGTCTAACTGCATCACGTATCACAATCCTTTCCCCGATATTACTAACATATACCAAATTCAATTTAGGTTGATCTGGCAAATGATCGTTGGTAATTACGCATTTGTGCACAGGAAATCATCGCACTGCTTTCCTCGAGTGACCACCAAACAGTAGCTTCCCAGTACACAATTCCCAATGCCCGAAGCAACCTTCATTGAATCGGATATTTTTTCCAAGAATTAGCCAAAACGGTGACGTTACTGTTTGTCCCCTCCAGGGGGTCAAAACAATTCCCGGAAAAATGGGACCTAATTTAAGCGGAATCTAAAACCTGAGAGCTCAATACAAACACATAAGTCTCCCTAAACCGCTTTTCTAAATAGTACTCTAAGTTTATTATTAACAGATGATTTGTTTCTCCTCGAGCTGGGCATTCACGCACTTCGTGAATTTAAGCTGTCATAATAGCGGTACCCTATCTAAGGATCACACCGGGTACAGAACGCTAACAAGGTCAAAAAACGTTAACCTATTCAAGGATCGAGACCCTCAAAACCATAACCTATAGGGCGGCACATACCTTATACCCCATATATATGGGCGTATCCCCGTGACTGTTTGACGCCTAGGGTAAATATAAAGTAACTGTAACATAGAAAGTACTGTAACACCGTAAGAAACTAAGACGTGCAGAACTTGTTCCATGTGAGGTACTGTAACACATAACAAACACCAAAACATGCAGAGCTTGTTCCATGTGTGTGAAATAACCGCAAATGCTTCTGAAAGATTTTCATATACATGCTTTCTTTTTGAGTTAGGGAGCTGCAATGACCGTTCAACTTCCTCGGATTGCCAGGGATGGAAGGAAGCTGGTTTTTGCACGCATCCTGATCATAAACCCGCATTGGTATATTGGTGCCCTAAGACCTGTTTCAACTGTAAGTTTGAATGCTTTATATATTTTTTCGTAACTGATTTACTATTTTTGTTTATTTATTTATTCATTCATTCATTTTTACATAGTTTTTTACTTTTATTGCATTTGATTCGTTTGTTTTTTCTGTTTAAAATGAAAACTATTGTGCTAGGTTATTTCTCTTCGTCAAGAAAAAAAAAGATTATACTAAGTGTTTTCCAGAAGTTTTGCCAATGAAAACCTCAGTTGTAACAGGTGTTTAGACCTTAAGCAAATGTGCTGAAGAAAGAAAAAATTGGGTGGGTTGTGCAGTACGTATTCTAACTTTTTCATGATATTAATTCTTATGATTTTATTTTTATTCTGTTCTCAAAGATAAATCGGTGAAATAACATACCCAACCCTACACCCTGACTCAAAAGAAAGGCATACCCATACCCTTTTCTTATAAAACATGATGATTTAGCAACAGAACGTGGATGTCAGTTGAGGCCGAGAAAGCGCGCGGAAACGACTGAGCGCTACTTCCGGTTATCAATTTGTGGCTCTCCGATTGGTCAAGCCGACTTTTATTTGCGCGGGCCCTCGTCACTGCCGTCACGTTGTCTTTGCTAAATTTACATTAAGGGGAGCGAGAGTAATTCTTGTGCGTTTTTATCTCTGCTTGCAGGTAACGTCTGATCAAGAAGCCAGAGTCTATCGTGTGGTTGAAATATGCCACTTTCGAATTATGAAACTTCATTCTTGGCCCGAAGGGTGAGGGGAATAAAACAAAACACATGAATAATCCACCCACCATGAACTTCAAAACCGCTCTTATTAGTTTCAAAACCTTTCATCCTCGGACCCAAATACGAATTTCGATGATTCGAACTGACATTCGAATTTATCCTTGATTTTAATTTCCTCTTCCTCTTGCACTTTGGTTCAGCAATGTATTCGTAATGGGATGTCTCCTCTTGGAAAATGAATAAACCAGATGCAAAGACAAAGCAAACCGAAGTAGTGTTGTTATCTTAAGGAAGCATTTTTTTTTCGTCACTTGTTCCTCGTCACTTTGACGAGCTAAAATCAGGGACAAAAGTCTAAGGCCATATTTGTGGTTTTTTAGGCTTTAAAAGAGCATCACTACTTAAACCTATCCCCTATTCCCATCCCACACACAACGCTAAACACGTGTATGGTACGGAGACACATTATACTATGAATCCTTTACCTTACTTCCATATCCAGTGAATGAAGTATACTCTAAAGCTCTCGTCAAATACATTTAACCCAAACGTGCATGTATAAGTTACCCCAATGGTTCGCGAGGCTAGAGTGTTTGCCAATAAATGAACCTTTTTAATACACATATATATCCAAGTTCCCCATTAGCTCCCCATATCTTTCAGTGACAGAGCGTTAACCAACAATCGTGTATAGCTTTGAGAAATCCGATCAGTCTGTGTAAACGTTCAGCATAATTCAAGGTTAAAGCCTGGTCTGAGGTAACTGTAATGATTTGTCGACGGCTTTTCGTGCAGCATGCCCAAACATTCTCATCTTTGTGTTGAATTGATAGAAAGCACACTTTACCAGGTAACCATAATGATTTACCAACGACTTTTCGTGCAGCATGCCCAAACATTTTCTCATCTTTGTGCTAAAATGATAGAAAGTACACTTTACCAGACCCCCAAGTCCCCCCCACCCCCACCACCATCACCACCACCCCTCACCATTCTACCCCGAGAAAAACCGTGTGTGTGTACATGTGTAATAGTTGCCATTTAACAAGAGTGTGTCTTATACAGGACTGCATACGCTTACAAGGGCAACATTATTACTTCTCCTACTTATGGCAGCTCTCATACTCCAAATATTTGACGTGATTAAACGTTTCAGTTAATACTACATACGTTCGTTGCTTTCTAGCAGTTCAAGCCAATACATCAGGAAATTTGTTGAATAAAAATTGTGTGAACAGTTTCAAAACACTTGCAAACTCCATCGAGTTCAAATTGGAAATTAAATTTTCTGTTACAAAAAAAAAACCTGAAGAGGTCTAATAACCTAAAAAATAAATAAACAACAAGGTGTATGTAGATAGCTGTTCCTGAAAGAAAAAAAGCCTCATAGTATCCTGATTTTCCAATTATAACTACCCTTTAAGTTGTTTTCTGCCTTATGCTATTATTCTTAGTACTCAGCTCTTTTATTCATACATAATCCTGACAATCGAACGTGGGATGAGGACTGCAACTGCGGAAAGGACCTGTAGCAGTCGAAAAAAGATATCTTAGTTTCTTTTATTATAAAGACTCTTCGATGATGTAACAATCTCGATTAATTGTTCAAATTTTAATACCCATGGGATAAAAGAAGGAAAATTGTTGAAACAAAGACCTTAGGGTGAACAGTTGCTGAACAGTTACAAAGTACATCAAGCTCAAATTGAAAATTAGGTTTTCTGTTAAGAGCCACCTAGCGAGGTCTTTACCAAAAAAGGGATAAATAAATTATTATAACGTAGTATGTTGACAACTTTTTCCTAAAAGAAAATATGCGGGCAGTAGGTATCATAACTACAGTAGACATATTAAATTCTGCAAACAGAATACTGCAATGCTGATCGTACTACGTGAAAATAAATTAACACTGCAAGACATCAACACGACACCGAAAGAACTCAAAACAGAGCGGGATTGTAGCCATAGACAGCTGTTTCGTCCTCTCTGGAGCTCGTCAGTATGGCGTAACAACCAGAGATCAGGCTCTGATGAAAAAATATTCGCGCACTCTGATTTTAGCCCTGGTTAATGTTTGTATCATAACTACACTTTAAGTTTGTTAATTGTTTTAATACACAGTTTCACTCATACCTATTTCTACGAGTGCTTGTATAGGAGCTAGAAATAGAAAGATATGAATCATGCAGGCAATTGCGGAAACTACATGTAACAGTCGAAAAAAGATGATTCAGTATACATGGACCGTATATACTGTATACATGGACCGTTGGATAATGTAGCAATCTCAAATAAACTCTTTTAATCACCTCGCTCGAAACAGAAAAGTAGTAGAACCGGTATTTAGTAGCAACAGATATATGATCACATCATCTACAATCAGAAGCGCCTAGTTTCTTGTTTATTGAATTTACTTTTTTTTTTGTTCAAACGTTTATTGAAAAATTAATAAAGGTAAAACTTTAAAGATAACTATTCCGAAATAAAACTAAATATACTTTTTGTTTTTTTGCCAATATTTTGCCAGATGGTTTCGACAATTAAGGAGCTAATATTATGACATATAAAACATAAACCAGGTATCTTAAACCGTCGCGAATTACATCGTCTCAAACAAAATGTTTCTTCCATTGCTTTTCGTCTCTCTCCTGTTTCTTCCTGCTTTTTACAGTGGCAAGGAAGAAAGCAAAACTGGTTTTGCATTGGTGAGTTCAGTAAATATTTCTTTCTTTCTTTTTCTTTCTTCATATCCTTCTATTTTTATACGTCCTGTTTTGGGGGTGTGGGATAATTTTTCATTACTAAGAGAATCAGGGGTACTCAACAACAATTTTTGGAAAATATCTGTTCGGAAGACGATTTGAGATCTACAATTTTCGGAACATTTGTTGTAAAATTTTTTGCTTGCCTGCCTCTGCTAGGATTTTCGAACATTTAAAAAATGGTATAATTGCCCATTTTTAACGGATTTTTACCCTAAAACGGTCACCTAGAATTTTTGGGGAGTCTTTTTTCTGGCTGAAATGTTCGAAAAGGTAAGTTTTGATCCCTATAATTTTCCGATCTCTAGACTTTCAGCTAGGAAATCCGAACAGATGAAAAATTTTCAGGGGATAAAAAGTATGCCTATATCTACCGTTCAGATACTAAAATACGTTTAACAATGCCATGTTTAAGTAGTTTGAACTATATTCTCGTTGGGTGTCCCTGAGAGAATGGCCCTGGAGGCACCTTATTTTAAGGACAAACTGAAATTCGTAAGTTTTGGGGGTGTTCAGTCGATTCCCGATAATTCGAACCTTCAAGGGAAGTTGAAAAAAAGGTCGATTTATTGAGGGTAAAATTATATAGAAAATGATCTGAAGGGAAATGAAAATTGCTTCGAGTTAGCGGGAGGTTCGAGTTATAGAGGCTTCGAGTTAGCGGGAGTCGACTGTACTTTCGAGGTCAGGCCTTTAATTCTCTTTTCTTAGGCTCTGGATCGATATGAGTGGGCCCTTGTTGAATATCAGTTAATCAGCCTTATAAGAACAATTGAATGAAAAACTATATATATTTTTTTATTTTTCTGATTCGCTGATGACGAAAATCACAATTAACTGTATGTTGCCGAATGTTTCTTTGCGGATTAAAGTTTGAGTTTGAAAGAATACCTGACAATGAGTTTACAAAATCTGAAAGAAATCACCGTAAGATTATCCTGTGTTTATAATAACATAGCCAGATGAAATCTCCTGGAAATATGATTTTGACCGTGTAACAAATAATAAATAGCGTTTCGTTTCTTCTCCTTTCCTTAGAACTACCTTTCTGACTTTGGCTACATGTTGCACAGCAGGTCAGGTGGCAATGACGTAACAACCGCAATAAGAAAGTTTCAGAAATTTTTTGGTCTCCCTGTGACAGGAAAGCTTGACCAAGCCACCATGAAGGAGATGAGCAAACCGCGATGCGGACTCCCGGATGTTGTTAGTAAAGATGAAGGAAAGCGCATGAAAAGATTTTCTACATGGGGAAAGTGGAGGAAAACGGATCTAAAGTACTATGTGTCTTATGGCGCGGATCTGCCCTCCAGCACTCAAGATAGAATCTTTGCAAATGCTTTCACATTTTGGAGTGACGCGGCACCAAAACTGCGATTCGAGAGAGTATACAGGCTCAAAGACGCAGACCTGCGTATCAGGTTTTGTCTCCCTTCTATCACTGGTAGATTGATATCTTACGAGAAATTTCGCGTCAATACAGACGTTTTACATACAAACTTGCCTTAAGAGTTATTGAAAAATTCTTTTTACGCATACGAATCGAGCTTCTCGCTCAATTGTCGGTGCATCACTTTGGGAAAAAAGCCAAAATCGGATTTGGAATGTAAAGAGTAAAGAATAGGCCTTCCAAACTGTAATACATCAAGCTCCTAAATGCAGAAGTTTAGGATTTAAATTCCGTTTTTTTATTTGCGCGTAGATCCAAAACGTAAGCCTTTTTGGCAGGAAATTAACACGCATATATGACATCTCACCAGCTCGCGCCAATACTGCTGACATGGTATAAAATCCATTCTGAATTTTAGTTTCTTTCGTCTTTAAGAGTCAAACGGATCTGAGTACGATAATCCAATCTTGAATTTTCGAGAAGTATCCAGCCCATTGAAAGATCAACTGAGAATCGTTGCAATCGACATTTATTTTTTGTTATATTACTTTTATCACAACGTTTTACAATTTTTATTGATTGATTGATTGATTTATTGATTGATTTGACTGATTGATTGTTTGATTGATTAAAGCTTTGGAAGGCGAGAGCACCAAGGTCCCGGAGAGAGTCGCTGTTATTATGCCTTTGACGGCAAAATTGGCTTGTTCGGTGGAAGTGTGCTCGCCCATGCCTTCTACCCTTCCGATGGTCGAATCCATTTCGATGAAGATGAGAAGTATACGGAGACCGGTTCATTTTGGGGTTTTTCTCAAAGTCTGGCTGATGTGGCTACTCATGAGATTGGTCACGCGTTAGGGTTACGACACTCAACTGTGAAAGGCTCTGTAATGTGGCCAATAGCAAAACACGGTGAACCCGAAATACATGAAGATGATATTAAAGGCATAAGGTCATTGTATGGTTAATGTGAGTGTCTATCTATGGTCTTACATGTAGAAAACAGTTTATGTTTGAGTGCTAGAAGCGCTGAAATGATACACGCATCACACTGTATTTTTGGCTTGATCGAAATAGCTTGCAAACTTCTAATCGCTCATTTTTTTTCTTTCAATTTTTTTTTTTCGGATAGCTTAGGATTCCCAAAATTCTTTGTGAAACAGAATTAAAATCACAAGTCATTTCATCAAAAAAAAAAACATATGTCATCGTTAGAGCCTCGAGTACGAACGTCAACATTTATTGCTGATTATCCTAGCGTATCCAATGGAATCACTTCTTATAATTTTCCTTTCGTTTTTTCTTTCCTTTTTTTTTCTTCCTCTACTTCTTTTTTTTGTAGGTTGTAGCGGCCAGTGGCTCGAAACAGCTTTTCAACACCCAGCCTAGTCTCAAGATAACTGTTGACTGAGAGTTTGAAAATAAAATCGTTTGAAATGGAAAAGATATTGGCGTGAATAATTACTGGAATACAAGCTACAGTGATATGTCTATCACTACCTACCTTTTTCATCCAATTCGATGTAGCAAGGTGTGTCGTCACAGTCCGTTAGAGTGTCTCAAAAGGCCAGACTGTCAACTTTGAGCTACTAACTTCAAAAACGGTTGTGACTGGAATGGATACCCCAAAGTCAGATTGTCACCCTCACTCAAAATACAGGATAGGAGTCTTATAACTTAACGTGGTAAATATATAAGAGAAGAAAGAAAACAGAAGAAAACAGTAGGTAGTATGTGGGACTTCAACTCGCGTCATTTTATGTATCCACTACAACATCAAGGGTTAACTGCCGAGACCGTTTAATTTTAGCGTATTTTACATGGCGTTGATCATTACATTATTGTAAGCTAACCGTTTTTAAAACGGTGCTTGACGCTAATCACTGTACTTCAGAGGTAAACCCTGTATTCACCACTTTTCCTTGCATAACTGTCTCTTACTCTGATTTCCCCACTTTTTTTAAAGTTCTCGTGTCCAGTAAATTCGCCTAAATATAGTATAGCGTGGTTTAGTGTAATAAACATAAGGTGTCCAACCGAATTTTGAGGTATCCATTCTAGTCACAACCCTTCACAACACCTATCTAGGCTGAGATTCCCTACCAATCAAATATGACTGTAATCATTTGGAACTCCCTGGTAGTTGTTTAGTGAGTGTACCGACTAGCTCTTTAAAGGTCTTCAAATTTAAAACCTTATGATTGGAACAAAAATGTTTTTTATTACACTGACACCCTCATTCTAGAACGCTGAACTCGTTCTGCAGCATTCGTACATTCGAAATACTATACCACGTTTTACGGAATGTGCCGCAACCCGTTCAGCAGCGTTCGAGAGTACTAAATTTTTGCTGTTTTGTTTTTTATGTGATTTTACTAGCTTCACTTAGGAAACAAAAAAATAAAGCAAAAACATGTAACGCACTTATAATAAATTAGTAAGCACGATCAAGGGAAGAAAAAAAAGAAAAGAGTTGCCAGGGTACAACATCTTTAAGGTGAATATACATAATGTACAGGTAAAAATGGATATTCTGCACATACTTCGAACCCAGAAGTCTGTAGAATGTTGGCTGTGGTGGCTGTAAGGATACACATTGTGTAATGATCTGGATGGTGGGTCGTGTAAAAATTTGTAGTTAAGCTAGCCACCCTCACAGACGTTCTTTTGAACGCGTGAAGAACTCCTGAACGTCTACGTGGAAGGCTTAAGTTATACCTACATTCAGGTTATCGACCGTAGCTAATAAACTGACTGGCGCTTGGAAACGGAGAAAAGGCCTAAAAGGGCTTGAAACCAGTTTTGCGTTTTTGGCACAAAATTTCTGTTAAAGTGGAGACGTTTATGCAAAATAAACTGAAGATGGGAAATAACCTGATCATTGATCACTGATCAACAGAAGTAAAAAAGTGAGCCTTTTGTGTACTTGTCTAGCTAGATCCCTGCAAGGGATGTCGCCTATTTTTGATTTGAAAAATAATGCCTCCTGACGCTTGCGAGCCAACTTGCAGCCACTTTCTCTGTCTCTGTTTTAGGTTATTTATATATGTAAAAAATTCACTGTATCAGACTGTCTCGTCAAATTTCCCGATTAATTCCTCATAATCAGCCGGTGCTAACCATATTTGGAAGATGCATACCAATCGTTGATCGATTTGATGTTATATTGCTAGCAGCCTCGTTTCCGGGCAATTATACAGCTTCGGTTTTGCAGAACTGTAGGACGGGACAGTCTAGCTCCTCGGTGGATTGAATCTTCCTTAATCTCAAGAATTCTTCACATGAAGTGTGACATGAACTGGCATTTTGCCTCCCTGTTTAGTTAACTGGCAGATATACACAATTCCTTCACTAATTATCTCCACTAATTTTGAAAGATAAAAATAATTCAAGACTGGAAAAGGTTTGGGACAATGGCTTACTGAATTTTCGGACAAATTTTAGTCCGAGATTAAGAGTGTGCAAAACTTTCGTGATTGATATATTACTTGTTAGTGTAGAGTGTATTTAAAAAATGCTTTGAAAAGGATTTTGGAGAAAAAGTACTAGCGGGCATCGGCCAAAGCCACGAGTTGTTCGAGGCGTCCGTGATCTCTTTAACTAGATATTTGACTTAACAGATAGGCGGTGCCCGAGGTCCATCCGTGCTTCGGGTGCTAATTATTCGCTCTTGAAATATATTTAAAAAGTAATTAAAATATTCATTTACAAAAAATTGTAAGTGGAAAGTTTAATCAACATTGTAAATCATAACTAATCCTGAACAAACACAATAACATGTGAAACATCAAAATGTCATAAAAAAATTACGTTAACTACTAGGGGTAAGGTATTTGCCTATGAGAATGTGTCATGTTATTTTAGATTAAGATCTCGACTTTAATAACTTTTCCTTCCACCGAAGAAATTTTTCTTTTGTTTTTGTTCTTTTTTTTAGTAGTGGACAGCTGAGAAAATTCAAGTTATCCAGATAGTGAATGAACATCGTGGCAGCAAAATTCTCCTAGCTATCAGTTTTGGTTGAACTTGAAACTGGTTAGCATGTTTCGTTTAGCGGCTTTGATTTTGCTGATAGATTTCCATGCAGTTATTTGCAAGACCGAGGCAGTTAGCGACGATTTTGTCTTGGTAAGGGTTTTTGAGTCCACTACACCATTAAATTCTACACTGTTATAATCGGGACTTTTCTTAGGCGTGATATAGTCTAAAGGCGATGACCAATTATTGCTTTGTTCATTCAAGAAAATATAGATTAAAAGAGAAAGTTTAAAATTAGAATTAGGCTTAACAAATTGTTAGGTTGTCAAATTAAACTTAGAGTTTGTGGTCGGCCAATACCTCTAGATGGTGAGGCGGTTTGCCTGAAGCAAGTAGACATTTGATACAACCAATGAGATTTTGAATTTCCCTCTTGTACTTTTGTCACTAAGCTTAATAGAAGAGTTGGACAATAGTTCAGATTTCACAAAGGCCTTCTCTACTTTTTCTCTTTCTGTCGCTAATTGCTACTGAGGAGAGTTTCCCCCAATGAAAACCGGAAAAGTTCATTAAGCATTAAAGGTGAAAGAAAATGAAAAGGGTGATGTCCTTATAAATATCAGTTATTTAGTAAAACTTAATGTATTTCTATGTTAGCTTCAAGGGGTTTGATGCAAGGTTGTTATTGAGTGGTTAATGAATCGAACCATTCAACCAATTCCAATCTTTTCTTCCTAGAACTATCTCTCCAAATTCGGCTACATTTCACATAGCAGGTCGGGCAATAATGACGCCACAGTCTCAGTAAAGAAGTTCCAGCAATTCTTTGGCTTACCTGCGACCGGTGAATTAGACGAGGAAACCGTTGAAATGATGAAGAAACCACGATGTGGAAACCCAGACGCTGACGACAATGGGTTACGCGTCAGGCGTTATGATGTAGGATATGGCAAGTGGGAAAAATCACCACTGAAATACCACCTGAGTTTTGGTGAAGATCTGGCACATGATCTTCAAGCAAGAATCTTCGCCAATGCATTCAGAAAGTGGAGCGATGCGGCACCCAAGTTACGATTTATCAGAACATTTAACCGTGAAGATGCTGACCTAAAAATAAGGTAATCGTGACGCTTTTTCCTATCTAACATCCAATAGATTTTATTGTACCCGCTCGATTAATTTCTTTGTTTTTCCTCTTTTTTTTTCTGTTAATCTTTTCTGATAAGCCAATTTGTGTTATTACTATACCATGTAGAACATTGCCAGATGTCATATCAACATGGGCTTTGATTTTCTTTTCTTTTGGTATTTGCTGTTATTATTTTGAATCTTATGAGATAGTTACTGTACGTTGTTGTTGTTGTTGTTGTTGTGTGTTTGTGTGGTTTTTTTTCGGCAGTAGGAGGTCGTTTTACTATCATCGTCATCATCGATATCATCATCATCATAATGATTGTCGTCATCATCAATATGATCGTTATTATAATTATAATTATTATTATTTTTATTATTGTTATTATTATGATGAATGACATTAGCATTGACAAAAAGCATCAACTTTATATAATCAAGAATAATAAATATAGCCATTAGAAGAACATATTACATCTTTTGTTGTAGAAATAGGAATTGGGATAGCCCAGACTTAATGCAATTTTGTTTTGTTTTCTTTTTTTGTTTTCTTTTTTTTTTTTCTGCCTTTGTGTTATTTTATTTGGTTTCTGTTTTTGTTTTTCTTTTGTTTTTTGTTTTTTCTTTTAATCATCCAATCTCAAGCAGCATTTGTGAGCTACCTATATGTGGCGAGATTTATAATTGCACATTCAAAAAAACAAATGAAGCTTCCATTACTATTATATTCATGATCATTATTAGTATTAGTATTATTGTATACCAACCACCCAAGTGTGATGAAATTAGAAATATCAAGTACAACTAAGAAATGCAGATTCCGCTGGGAGATCGGATTTTTTTTCCTGAACATTTCTTAGTTGTACTGAGTATTTTTGTTGTTTTCTTATTTTCTTATTTCTTTTTGCAGCTTTGGAGAGAAGGAACATAAAGGACCTAGCGAACAAGACTGTTTTTCACCTTTTGATGGGCTCGGAGGAGTCTTGGCTCATGGCATTACCCCTCCGGACGGCCGAATTCATTCGACGAAGCAGAAAAATGGACAGAGAAGGGAAGTCGGTTTTGGTCTAAAACAGAAAGTCTTTATCAGGTTGCCACACACGAGATTGGTCACGCTTTGGGACTTGGCCACTCAAGAGACGCTGATGCTGTGATGTGGCCTTTGAGCAAAAAGGGCAAGCCAAAGCTGACCAAAGATGATATTGCCGGAATTAGAAAATTATATGGTAGGTGGCTAAAACCAAGAAATGATGTAACATGACCACTGTCCCAATAAGCGTTTTTAAGATTATCGAAATTATACTATTTATGCGTCCACAGACTTTACTTTTTTCCAGCGGGCACTATATTATTCGCCATCTGCACATCTCGTCGCATAATACATCTTTTTTCCCTCTTGCCCCTCTTGCCCCTTTTTTTCCCTCTTGAGGGGGTAGGGGAAGGGGGAGAGATGTATTAAGAGAGATTAGCATACGGCGAATGTCAAACAGTCGAACCTCCCTGGTAAGCGACAGCCTTCCGTAGGCAACCACTTCTCCAAAACACCAAGCCCTACAGCTGGAACCGCTGTTAAACGACTACCCCATGTAATCAAGCAACCGCGACCACTATAAGTGTCTATAACTGTCCATTGTTTTTAACCGCTTGTAAGCTGCACCGCTACTTGATATAATGGGTCTGATCTCTTTCCACGCAGTACAAAAACAAAATGCCCTAAATTATTTGAGTGTCAATGTATTTAGCACGAAAGTACTAATTGGAAACACTGTTTTAGGTCTCCTTATACTGGAGACGGGACCACCATTTTTCGCGGTCATTCGAGCCACGCTAAGGTCTATTCACGTGCAGTGCAAAGAGAGAACCTTCGTTTCTCAGTTATTTTAAGACCCTGTGTATCGCTCCGGTCCCGCGATTCAAACCCGCGACCTCCCGCTCTGCAGTCACGGGTAACGTTCTACTGACTGAGCTGTACGTACTATTCTGCTCCCAGTATTCGAAGAACTTTTAGTGAAAATATGTTACTACACATAATAATATATAGTAATTGAAACTGTATTCAATAAATTACCTTCCATTAAAATAAGTGAGTCCGTAACGGGTCAAATTCTTGTAAGTAGCCACCTCCCGTAAGCGACCCCTAAGTCTTCACATTTTGGTGATCGCTTACAGGGAGGTTTGATTGTATTTTCCTTTTCGATAAAGTTTCCATTTTCTTACTTAGTATTTTGATATTTGCACTGTCTACTTAAGACTTTTTTTTTTGTTCTTTTTCTTCTTCTATGATTCAGGTTGATGCTCATAAGGTCAATTTCCATTGGAACAGATCTGTACTGAATAATTAACATGAACAGGCAAATGAGTAAATAAAACGAGTTAACATGAAACCTGTCTCCTGATATTTTTCTTCTTCTATGATTCAGGTTGATGCTCATAAGGTCAATTTCCATTGGAACAGATCTGTACTGAATAATTAACATGAACAGGCAAATGAGTAAATAAAACGAGTTAACATGAAACCTGTCTCCTGATCGTCTATTACTTACTGAACATTAGAAATAAGGGGTAAAAAGAAAAAATGGACGCAAAAATTAACTAATAATTACATCGCAAATGAAAATGTTAGTACAATTAGGTATGTGTATAATTATGTAAGAATGTTTTAGTTTTGGTTTTGTTTTGTTTTGTTTTGTTTTTTTTTCACGCGTGATCCGGGATACATCATAAACAATGAAAATTAAATGGATTTCGAACTGCAATACGAAGAAGGCACTACTAATTATAACAGAAATTATGAACTGTTTTTTTCACTTAATTTTGAAAGAGTCTGGTTTCTGAATATCAATGCAATTGAAAGGTTTTAAAAGGACTATTAATAAGGCCTAAAATACTTTGGGAGTCCCCGTCAAATAGCGAATCTTCTATTTTTGAGCAATAATTTTAAAAAATAATAATTTCGTTTGTCGGACTGTTCTTGTTTAAACCACAAATTGCAGCAGCCTCTTGCACAATCTACGCACAATTGTTACTATTATAAAAATATATATATATATCTATAAATATTTAAATAGTACATTATTTGAAAATAAAAATAATCTACCTTTAAGTGTTGTTGGGATTACTGAAGAAGATTTGATGTAATACTTAAGAGCAACTAACACTACTCTTGAAGTTATTATCAGTGAAGAGATATTATCCGAAAAATGTTTATTTAATTTTAATAGCTGTATTCCAAATAAATCGGCCACCAGATATAGAGTCCTTAACGAGGTCATTTGGTCAATAGCCAATAATTTTTCTTTTTTGATTGATTTATTTTCCCACAAAATTGAGCCACAATGCTCCACTCCACGCCCCTTAAAGGCACTTTTTAACTGAAGTCTGTAGTAAAATATTGTCAAAATATTCACATCGTTTTAGCTGATGGTTGCTTGTCCGAATTTTGTTTACATAAGTAATTAAAAATTATTAAACAACATCGGTCTATAACCTAAGTCACGTTCTCTGAAGTGTGCTGTTTAAACAGACAAGCAGCTGATTTTAGCCCTTGCTTTTTAAAACAAGTGTGCTCGTGTTTTGTATATTCCAAAACTCTTCAAAAAACACTGACGGTAGCCCCCCGCCCGGGCCCCATCCCTAGTTTCGCCACTGCCAGTCATGATCTGCTGATGTAATTGCCTGCTCAATGTTTATGCAGCCGCACCTAAGAACATTTTCAAAGATAATTGTATTTGTAATTTACTGAAAAGTACATGTCTCACTTAATATTTATACAGCTTGAAAAGCTAAAAACATAAATAAAGGCCGATGGTGTACTGGTTATGCAGTTAACTGAATGTCACACTAGTAAAGATGGTTGTCATCTTGGTAATTGTTTCGTTTCTCTTTCTAAATGCTGCCGTTTGTGAGGAGGATGAAACCGATTTCGCATTGGTAGGTTAAACGTATCCCTTTAGTGTTACAAATCAGAAAGATAGAAGTTTTGAGACTTAGAAGTTACTATCATTTTGTTTCTGATTATTCATTACCTTACTAAGGTCGGTGAAGCACGGCTAGTAGAGTAGTAGTTTTCGTTCTAGATCCAACAAAAACACTTAATATGATAACAAATTAGAGCATTATTATTTAACAGCCTTATAGCCTATTGGTTCAATTGGGATTTTATTTTTCATAAACTACGCTGCGATTAGAAGAGAAAGGAAGTTCATCATTGAATATGTTGTGTTATAAAATCGCTGAGTCTGTTTTAACCATGCGATTGGTCAATTTGCGGTCCGTAACTTGCTTTAAGGACCAAAATTTTTTAAAGAAAATGCTCATTTCGGAGGACTAAATCTCTTTACCTCGGAAAAAATGTTTAAATTAAGTTATAAGACGCCTGTCAACCTTGAGGACTTGCATGTTGACTTTGGCCTTCAACATTTTAAACTGTGTTTATTTGTGAACGAAGTCGATGAAGAAACTAACTCGTAATCTTATCGTAGAGGATTCTAGTCAGTGTAGAAGACACTAAGAAGACGAAAATCGACTGGCAGAGATTCGAGACGTTTTGCCTAAGAGAAAATGAGTAATTCCTTCAACAAATATGATAACAAACATACCTGCACCCGATCATCTTAACAAGCTTCTTTGCCATTTATTTGCAGTGTTTTTTCAAAGACCAACTAAGGAAAAATAGAAGCGAGTTCGAGGCAGACACAATACTGTCCAGTTTTCAAAAGACTCCAGCGTCACATTAACGAGTGAATACTTACAATGTTCTTAGTTTCCACCGAATAAACTTTGAAATATGTATGTAAACCCTGAGGACTGGGATGTTGACTTTGTTGTAGAAAATGAATCGTAACCTTACCGAGGAAGAGAATTCTAGTCAGTGTTTGAAAAAATTAATTTTAACGCAGATCACAATTGAAGACGAGAATGGACTGGCAGAAAGAGAAGTTTTCCCAAAAACAATTAACGAGCGAATCCAGTTCGACAATTACAACAAACTTACCTTGAGAAGCTTCTTTGCCTTTTGCAGTGTTTTTTCACAAGGACAAACGGAGGAAAGATGGAAACGACTTCTAGACAGACACAGGGTCCGGTTTCAAAAATACTCGGTCCGTAATTTACAGTACGGACCGAAAACTCGGCTAACAAGAGGTACTTATCTAAAGAGAGGTAACACTCCTGAAAAAATTTCCAACATTGCTCTTATGCCTTTTTTTTCCTTTCTTCCGGTTAGAATTACCTCACCAACTTTGGCTACATATCCAAAACCCGTTCGGGAAATCACGATCCTAAAACTGCGATTAAAGGTTTCCAGAGCTTCTTTGGTCTACCTCAGACAGGGGAACTTGATGACGAAACAATATACCAAATGAAAAAGCCACGTTGTGGAGTCCCGGATGTTTACAACGAAAATGGAAGAGTGAAACGCTCACCGTATCCAGGCACTGTAAGAAAATGGAGACAGACTTATTTTACGTACTTTGTGTACAAAGGAGAAGATCTTCCAGAATCTGAGCAGCAACGAATCTTTGCCAAGGCCTTTAACATCTGGAAAGCTGCTGCACCAAGGTTAAGGTTTACCAGAGAAAAGACTCAGGAATATGAACCAACAAAGGCTGACCTGAAAATCAGGTAGAATTTTCTCTTTTCTTAGGTAATGCCAATATCAATTATTTAGTAATATCTTGTTTTATCATATAACTGAATCCGCGGGCGGGCAAGGTGAAGCGACTTTTGTTTTCTGATTGGCTACTCGAGCGATCAAATTAAGATGGGGTTATCTGGCCCGCACGAAATCTGTGATTTGTGATAGGTGGATTTCGATCCGTTTTCTGTGTTTCTCGGTTCGTTGCTTTTGAACGTCAGAGTTCGGTCGCGTGTTTTTGAAGAAGGCAGTAAGTTTTACCTTAATAGCTTCCGTTTCTTATTTTCCTTATCCTGAAACATGGAAAGTTTAGATTGTTCCCGTGGAGCTTCCAAATCCATTGCGGAAGAAACACAGATATGGGGGGGGGGGGGGGGGGGGGGAAAAAGGATGTGTTAGGGGTAGAAAAAAACAACAAACCACAAAAATTTTTTTCAAAACATAAACATGTCTGTTTTTTTTTAAACACTGTAAACACACGTTTTCCTTTAATTGGGTTTGTTTTTTTTTGTTCTATCTATAGAAAAAGGTGTCGTTTATGATCAGCTCGAGAGATGAAGAGGGAGAGAATGGGAGAGGAGGGGGGGGGGGGGGGGGGGGGGGGGGGGGGGGGTGAAAACGGTTTGATTGACGTTACAGAAAAACCCAAAATCCTGAAACGTTTTTGACAACATATATAGGTCGCTTGTTATCTGAAACAGCTGTAACCAAGCTTGTTCTGTCCAGATGGGTTATAATTGGTCTTGTTTTTTCTTCTTTCCCTTTTTCTTCTGTTTAAAATGAACCTGGGCCTCCTCTAAGTTCATAAAAACGTAAAAAAAGAACTTGGCCGATATTAGCCAACTTGACCTCCAGCTTGGTCAACAAAGTATATGTTTCTAAAACAAAACGTCTTAAAAAGCTAACAATTACTTTTAAACTGTTGTTTAGGTATTTGCCAAGCACATCACCTAATACAAGTAGATTAATGCTTGTTTTCTGATTCATGGTCTGTGTTGCTAATATTTTCAAACATTTTTACGAATATGTATAGTTATGTTTTAACTTACGGTTTTCCGTTTATTTTCCTGTGATATACAATCAGTTTTGGCAAGGAAAGGCATTCTGGAACTCCGTTTGAACCTCGCTGCACAACCGTTTTCGATGGCAAAGGAGGCATGGTAGCGCACGCTTATGCCCCGCGGGAAGGGCGAATCCATTTTGACGACGACGAAAAATGGACTGAGAAGGGTGGATTTTGGAGTAGATCACAAAGCTTGCTGTTTACCGCGGTCCACGAGATTGGCCACGCTCTGGGTCTCAACCACTCCAACAGAAAAGACTCCGTTATGTGGCCAGAAGCCCAGAAAGGTGTTCCTAAGCTTTCTAGTGAGGACGTTAGAGCAATACGGCAGTTGTTCAGTAAGTCTGTTGTTTTCTCTCTCTCAATTTAGATGGTTGGATGTGTTTTCTGTGCCTGATGTTGTCTGATTGACCATGACCTAGCCAAAAAGTAAAATATGAACAGGTACACCTCATCAGGAATGGCTGTTTTGGAGTTGTAAATCGTCATAGACAAAAAAATATATAATAATGGAAACGGTTCCTTGATAGAATTCAGTGAAAGTCCCAAAACTGGATTTTTTTTTTCTTTAATGGCTTAAGACTTTTATTAATAAAATGAAGCACTTGAACATTCATGTGCCCATCTCTTTTCACAAGACTGAAAATAGATGACATTGTAACAATGAAAAATCAAAGTGGGAGTTGCAGCACATGTTGCAGCCTGGGTCTGGGATACAGAATTATTTTCTACTTTCGAGATTTATTCAAGTTTTCTTTCTTGATTTAGTGAGGGGTGAATTGTGCCAATGCTTTCTTTTCGCTTCCTGCCTTTTTTTTGCTCTCATTGAGCGACACACTTCTTTAACATAGATGTATGACGTTCTGTAAGTTGTTACGGTCATATTTTGTCTTACTTTAAAGTGCCCATAGCCTAAAATTTTTCATTTTCTTATCTGAAACTATACCTTATTAAAATTTCTTCTGCGAAAAAATTTTGCGGTTTGAGCAAAACGCGATTTTTTTTACCAGTTTTTTAAAGTCTACATTTTTGCGGTACATCCGCGACGCTGGTCACGCAAACTAGCAGGCTCACATATGACGTCATGCGACGTAAATTAAGGACCTCGCATTACCTTGCCTTCAACTGCTTTACACAAAAAAAGATCAATTACAAGAAAGGATTGACTCACAACGTCTTCGCAAGAAGAAAGTTTTTCTGAGACAGAAAAACCTACCAGAACTCTTGATGTTTTCCTGTCAATAAAGCCACGTGTTCCTTAAAGTACGTCATATGACGTCATACTCCGAGAGAAGACTAAGACGAATGGTGTGCCAAAATGGCGGCAAATTTGAACGTTTTTAAAAAAATTCTAAAAAAATCGTCTTTGGTTCAAATCCCAATTTTTTTCAGCGGAGGTTATTTTAATAAGGTGTAGTTTCAGATAAGAAAATGTAAAATTTTAGGTTATGGGCACTTTAAGTTACCAACAGTTTGTTTTTCCTTTCAGATTAACGCTGATGTTGGTGTAATCGAGAGTACTGAGTTTGTTAAAGCGAATCATACTACTAACAATGAGTTTAAATAAAGAAGTTTAAAGAAGAAAAAAAAATTGCAGATACTTTGTGTATTGGTCCTTGATAGCTATAGAGAACAATTAGACAGAGAGGGAATCTTAGGGCGTTGGCGAAGGATATGAGAATTTCACTAAAGTTATTTTGAGAAGCTGTAATCAAACGGAAGACCAATTCCTGAGACGTCCGCAGTCCACGCGCGATTGTCTCAAGTAAACAGTGCCGAATATTGCAATGGTTACTGCTGAATTCGTTCTTAAAAGCACTGAATATAAGTTTGCAGACCTCTCCAGAAACCAACCTCCGATTAATTTTAAGCGTTAAATTGGTCTTAAGACTGGGCGTTTTCCCCTACGGTCCCATTACTATTTATTGATAATTATTTTTTTCCGATGCACAGTTAACCAGTCAAGCAACGAGAGGGACGTAGTTGCGGGCGCTTACCTGAGTGGTTGTTGGGAGAGCCGAGTGGTGGGCAGGGTTATGTTAAAGGCTTTGTTTTCTGGATAGTTGGCTGTTGATTGTATCTAAAAAGCTACAATATAGCAGTTCAGGACAAAAATGTGTGACCTGATAGAAATATGAAATTAATTGCCATGAACGTGTAACAATAGAGCGTTTTCAGTCACTTGGCTAATAGCTATGCAAATCAATGGAAATAAAAGATGGTTTTTGCATTAGAAAAAACAATTCTTTTACCGCAGGACTGATTTGAACATCAACATGTCCGCCGTTTCGTTGTTTTGGGACACCAATATGGTGGACGTGACATCATTTGAAAACTCGCTGTATACAGGCGCCCAGTAACATAAAGAAGCCGATCTTAGCCTTCTACGGCTTCGTGTGGTCCAGAACATTTGGAGGAATTTATGGTTTTTATTGTGTTAATATTACTTAAAGCTTCCTCCAAAGGCGTTCCTCCAATAGTAATTAAAAAAAATGGTCGTTAACTTTTCGAAAGGGCCAATCTAAAGCATGCAACACAACAGTCTACACTCGGCTGTGAGTGAATAGAAAAACAAAACTAAAGAAAAATAGGTCAGGAATCTTCCCTGCCTATTTCAGAGGATGTTCTCAATTGTTACTTGCTTAAAAAAGATTCTTAAACAGATGCAAACCCAAAGGACAGACGTTTTTTTTTTTTTTTTTTTTTTTTAACATCCCCGGGTTTGGTGGCGTGTAAAAAGGGATTTTTTGGTTAAAACAAAAAAAAATACTTTGGCCCCGATTATTAGAACCCTTAGAAAAGTAGAGTGAATGTGGTTGGGTTCTTCTTAAAACGCAATTTTTTTTTTTTTTTTTTTTTTTAACATCCCAGTGTTAGGTTGCGTGTAAAAAGGGTATTTGTGGTTACAACAAAAGAAATGACCTTGTCACCAGTACTTAGAACCTCTTGAAAAGTCAGCTGAAAGTGGTGCTCCTTTCCTCTAACTACAGTGTATAAGGAGGCAAACCGTCTGGTCGATGGCATTCCGTCCCACCCAAGATGAGAGGGGAAAAAACATGCTTTTGTCGATTCCACACGATCAATTTCCTTTTAAAGCGAAGTGAAGAGTGATCGTATTAACACGATAATTTTATCAAATTTAATATATTGTCGCATTTATCATTTAAATTACGCATATATGGGATCATCGCGACATAAAGCAATACACTGAAAGTGTGCGATATTACAATGAGGCCGCAGCTATATTGTTATATTTCATTCAACTAATTCAAGGATCAACAATTGACAAATGGTTCAAAAATTTCTTTCGTTGATAACCAGAAAGGTGTTACAATGCTTTGTACCTTCGTGGCTTTCTCTCTTGTCCTGATAAACAGTGTAGTAAGTGAAGTTGACCCTGACGACGAGAAATTTGCTACGGTAAGTCAAAACACCAGGAAAGAATAACGCCTCTTGGGTTGTTTACAAATACACGTATACGTATGTAAAGACAAAGGGGGTCAGTTTCTGTCTTGAAATTGAACGTACAATAGATCGAGTTATTTTCAGGGAAGAGTGTTTTTCAGAAACTAGATCGATCTAGAGTCGCACAAATGCTTCCTCCCAATACGACTTTCCAAAACAGAGGGTTCCACTATTCAAATTCCTACAGAAAGTTAATGTCCTAAAATAATTCGGAAAAAAATAAACATATAATAGCCAACGAGACCAGATCAAAGATATCATCAAGAGCGAGAGCAACAGTGATTATCCATTACTTCAAATAGCTCTTTATGACGTTTATACTAGTATCATACAGTCTGTGAGAATCAATGAACTCACCCCTTAATTACAACCTATAGTAAACATTTAAGCAAATTACGAGAGCTCTTAGAGTTTTGTAAGTGGTGTTTCTACCTCTTGTTCTTTTGGGCGATGATCTGTTTTTCTCGAACCCTCATTTATCCTACGAGTGAAACACCATTGCCTAAAGCCTAAAGCAGTGGGAATAAAGGACTAGACTCTCGCCATGTAAGAAAATCCAAGACAGTCTTGGAATTCTGGATTCCACGCCGTGGATTCCAGATTTCAGGAACTGGATTTCAGTCTTTGTCAGTGGAACTTGGATTCTGGATTCCAATCGTTAGTGGAATTCTGGATGCCTTGAGCTGTATTCCAGACTCCAAAGCCCAGGATTCCGGACTCCACAAGCAAAAATTTCCCAGATTCTGGAATCCGGATTCCCTTTCATGGGGCGAATTAGATCACCGTGCCCTTTGCACTCATAATGAATTCTACTGATATTTTACTTTCCCGATCTATCCGTGTAATAGAATCTAAGTCTGCAAGAACCAGCAAGAAATGATATTTTTTTATACATTTTTTTTCTTTTCAATCTATGTTGATTAAACTCTACGAAATTTATCCAATGTGCATGATTGTATTTTTAAGAAGAGCTAGAGTGCAGAGTTTTTATTCGCCGTTTTTATGCGTGGGTTATATACCTGAAGGAAGATTTCGTGAGCCTGATTTCGCACTCTAGTGTAGATCATTCCATTCCTTGGCGCAGTATGTTTTTCAAATTCTGCCGATTTTCTTATATGTTTAAGGTAATTTTGAAGCATATTCTTTAATACGAAATATCATGAATAGGAGTTAGCATTTAACTACCGTTTGCAGTGCATGTCATAATGTCTTCGTGTTTGTTTGGCTTTACTCTTTTAGCTCGATATTTGAGCTTATAAAGGATAATAAGGTGCATATATTCCTTTTGCAAACCAACTCATATATTGACTCATAATTACAATCTGACCTTCAATAAAGTTCTAAAAAAGTTTGAACTTTTTAATAGAAGCATCAAAACATAACACTGAACCAATATTAACCAAGGCTATTTTGAGCCACATTTTTTGGATATTGCATGTACCCTTAAGATGAAAAGTGTTTCGGAAAAAAAATACCATTTAAAGCGACTATCCAAAGTTATTATCATAATTGTTACATATAAAGCATCTACTTTTAGCCGAAGCAACTAAATGAGGAGTTGAAGAAAACTTAAGGACCCAGCCAAACTGTCAGACAGGAACGTCCAATCTCGTTTACTGAAGGTCATTACTGAATTTGACAGCCATTTAAATTTATAACAGACATTTAGTAATTCATAAAAATTAGTCAGAGCAAACCAAGTCCAATGGAGACATGAAAATCAGATCGTCATTGCCAAAAGGCTTTGCAAATTGGCCTTGATTAGTTATCGAATTACTTAGTGGCATCTGAGCAGTTATACACAGGGCTCTAAACAACTATTATCACTACACACGGCGAAATGACAAACTACCCTCTCTGAAACGCTCCTTTTCGCGAGCCAAACGGCAAAGTGCGGACTGTAAATGGAATTTGCAGCCCGCAACATGATTTAATGTTGCAAAATATATTTCTTATGAAATAAATTTCTACGATTTGGCCTTGTATATTGACACTAATGATAATCATATGACTTTTGGAGGTCATATAGTTTAATTGTGTCCCGATGTAGCATCATTTGCAACTATATGCCCTCAAAAAGTCACGTACTATATATATATATATATATTTTTTTTTTTTTTTTTTTTTGAGCAAACGGTTTATTTATCTGAAAAATTCAGCAAAAATTTTTTATTAACTGTGTTTTGCCTTTATCACATCCCCTTTCATACAATTTAAAATTATTACTAAATTAAGGCGAGGAGATCACAAAAAATAAAAAAAAACATGATACCAGTGGAGAATTTTTGTAAAAATTAATGGACATGTATATGTATTTTATTGTGTTTAAAGTTGTGCTCCTCCCGTGTTTTCTTTTGAAATAAATTTTTTCGGTTTGGCCTTTTTTTTTTTTATTTATTATTATTAAATTAATTTTTGGGGTTATTTATTTTTATTGTTTCCCCATTTTATATTATTTTTAAATTTATTCCCTTAAAAAAGTCCGTTCTTTTTTTTTTTTATTATTTTTTTTTTTTTTTTTTTGAGCAAACGGTTTAGTTATCTGGAAAATTCAGCAACAATTATTTATTAACTGTGATTTGCCTTTATCACATACCCTTTCATACAATTTAAAATTATGACTAAATTAAGGCGAGGAGATCCCAAGAAATCAAATTGAAAATGATTACAGGTGAGACTTTCTGTAAATATTAATGCACATGTATCTGTAGTGGTTCAATTTTATAGTTGTTTTATTGTATTTTTCTATGTTTCAAGTTGATTGTCATACATTAACAAACCCCAAAACCGAAAACAAGGAGAAACAAAAACGGTGAGCTCCAAGGATAAAATGAATCCGCAACACATGTATTAATAACCGCGTTATCTTTCTTACTTTAGGAGTACTTGAAGTTTTACCACTACATCTCACCAACAGACACCGGTAACCACAACACCACATTAGCTATCGAGAAGTTCCAACGATTCTTTGGCTTGTCTATAACTGGTACCCTTGATGACGAGACTTTAGAAGTTATGCACAAACCCCGTTGTGGAGACCCGGATGTAAATGACGCAGGCACACGCGTGAGACGGTACGCAACCAGGGGCATATGGAATAAACAAAACCTGACCTATTATTTGTCGTATGGGAAAGATATGACGCATTCTGAACAATCACGAATCTTTGCCAGAGCCTTTAAATACTGGAGTGACGCAGCACCAACTTTGAACTTCACTAGAACCTATAACCCTAACACAACCGATATAAAAATCAGGTAGGTTTGTGATTTATTATTGATAATGAAGTTCAAATAAAACGCGCCCGCTTCTGATTGGTTGAATAAGAGCGCTTTATGAGAGTACAAGACATGAAGCTAAAGCTGTCTCGCCATCTGCCAATAATTTGTTCTGAAAATTAGAAAGTAATGCGGCGTGGGAAATTTGTATAGGTAATAGCATGATTCGTAGTGATATTTGACAAAAATACCACGAGTGATCAGTATTTAAAAATTGTTATACGTAATTTGAGAAAATTTTGAAATGTCACGAGTGGTATTTGTGCCAAATATCACGTACAAATCATGCTATTAATAGTTTATACTCCTACCCGTAGAAGGTTTGTAATTTTCACATGTAGGCATTTCAAATTAAGCTGAAATACCACTGCTCTTAGCCAATCAATTTGCAGAAATTTCCCATGTAGTAGTATAAAAGATGAAACAAAAAGGCTGGGAACAGACTAGTAGAGTACTTTTCGAGCTCTAGCCACTCCAGCCACTCCAAGTGCATGCGTTAAAATAGAGCAGAGCACAGTCAAGGCTTCCTTATTTGTTAATCAAACTTTAAGTAGCACTTTTTCTCACCCTTCTCTTCCCTCTTTGGTTCTAATGTACCCAAATGGGATGGTAGGTGTACCCTCTCCTTTGCTCAGTTGTATAACATATATATGTATCTGGGCTTTCTCGGCTTTTTACACATGCACGAAATGATCGGCCACTATGGTGGCCAAATTCATCCCAAAATGGATTTGTACTTGTTTCCATCCCAGTACACAGAGCTCCCCAAAGCGAGAACCCTCCACCATCAATATATAATTGACCTAATATAATTTGTGTAAAGGAACATCGAACATAAGTACCATATTTTATCATGAATATTGTAGGTCGATAAAATCTCACATTCGGGGTTTAAGAGAGTGAAGGAGGGGGGAGGGGGGGTTGGGGGTTGGCGTCACCCACACCTATTGTTGTTGTTTCGGATTTCATCCAGATCTTTACTTATTGTTCTAATCATTAAACACATTTTGACAAAATCTTTTGACCACCGCTAGCATGGTAACGACATATGACTTCCTTAGTAGTAAGAGTTCATGCTCGCAGGTTTGCTCTTTTTGCTGCAAAAATATTTAAAAATAGCATCAACGAAGAGTAGGAAATTGTTGCTGTTGTTGTTTTTTTTTTCCATTTTTTCATATTTTTTCATTTTTGATGATGATGATGATGATGATGATGATGATGATGACGATGATGATGATGATGATGACGAGTTTCACCGATATTTTAAAGATATGTATACTGATACATCACTGCCTTAAGTGTATAATGGGACTACGGTACGCTTGGTTACCACCGGACCACTGTTTTAACAAACGAACACATCAATATTGACTTCATTATAAGTTTACTTGGATATTAACGAATATTTTTTTCTTCTAAAGATTTAGACAAAAGAACGTTACAGTTCTTTGAAAGAAGATTTATTAGCTCCCCCCACCTCGATTGAGATACCTCCCTTCAATAAGCGCCCTCCTCTTAGACGAAATTCAGTATCGAGGCGACTGGGTGCTTATTCGAGAAAATACAGCACAGGCACAATATGGTGTGATGTATTTAGTTTTAATTTTCATATATCAATTGCATTGAATCTAAACCTTTGCAGCTTTGGACGAAGACGACACGCTGGAGTCCCAAATGAAGGAAGTTGTCCTTACCCTTTTGATGGACCAGGAAGGGTCATTGCGCACGCTTTTTTCCCTCTTCCAAACTTTTTTAGGCGAGGTCGAATCCATTTTGATGACGATGAAACGTTTACAAAGTTTGGTAAGCTAATATATCATAAGTTACTCGAATATTCTTAGACTGTGGAAGCCAACAACAACAAAAAAAAAATTATTGAAAATTGGAAATATAACCAATTACATTACTCTCCCACCCGCAAATAGCTTATAATTAAACCAATCGAGGCGGGGGGAACTGAAGACGTATTACAAGTACAAGGTTTATCTATAGATGGACTAAATAACAGTGACGACAGTACCATTATTATTACTATTACTATTTAATTTGTATGATGTTTGTGATGCCGAAGTGTGGTAATGGTTTAAAAATATAGCTAGTAACTATTGCAGAGATGGCATCTGTTGGAAGGTCCCTTTGATAAATTACGCGCTCTTTACAGGTTATTAGGTATCAGAGGCGGATCTAGGGGAGGGCGCAGGGGGTGCGCACCCCCCCCCCCCCCCCCCACCCAAGACGACCTGCGGTTTTCTAATACAACTGATATTCTGCAGTAGAAGCAAGATTCCGAAGTAGAGCAAGAGACGAGTGCACCCCCTCCTAAAAAAAATCCTGGATCTGCCCCTGGGCATTTTACAAATTTTAAAACGTGTTCTTCTGAATAAAGTTTCAGGGTTTTGGCAGGACATTTTTTCCTTGAAAAACTCATTTATACGTGGATAACAAGAAAAACCATCGTACAAAATCAACTATATATCGTTTATCACTAAAACATTTAAATAAATATATGATCTTCTCCGTTGTAATGGCAAACTTGGGGCTAAATTTTTTTCCAAGTAGTCAATTTGCAATTGCTTAAATTGAATCATTTGCAGTTGCTACTGCAACAATCACTTATTCATTCAAATTTGTCTTAACGCAGTTCACTTTATCCGATCTTCATTCTAAGTACGAAACACTTTTTTTAAACTTTGAATGTAGGTGGTAAGTCGTCTGGTTGGTTTTGGTACCGACGACGAACCATAGGGCTCCTTTACACGGCGGTGCACGAAATAGGTCATTCATTAGGCCTTATGCATTCCGATGTAAACAGCGCGGTTATGTGGCCCATAGCAAAGTCGGGCAAACCAGTCATGGACCAGGATGACATTGATGGGATAAACGCTCTTTATGGCGGAGGAGGAGGAGGGGTAAGTAAATAGACTGGGTAGGATGGGTTATGGTTAGGATTAGGGTTTAGGGTTACGGATTAAGGTTAGGGTTAGTGTTAGGGTTAGGGTTGGTGTTAGGGGTTAGGAGTTTGGGTTAGGAGCTACCTGAATCGCTTCATAAGTCCCTGAGTTTCATCTGGCACCGAAACAATCAGGCAACTTTAAAAAAATGAATTAGAATAGTTCCCATCTCATCAGAAATCCTGTTGTAATTATATGGCAAAATTCATCGTATCGACTGAGAAATAAACAACTATACAATTTCCCCTGTTTTAGTACTTAATTTTGTTCTCTAACATTTGACTGAGGGAATGAGAGTTATACTAAGAACTCTACAAAGTCGATTATTCTTTTTTGTTGATGATTTTTGTTTGTTTGTTAGTTGTTGTTGTCGCTTTCAGAGTCACATCCGACACGTTTGACCGAAATGGAGTCTTTTCGTCTTTTTTAGGATGACGCTTGATGTGCTTTAAATGGGTTGAGAAGAATCAAGATGTGTTGCTGGGGACGACGTGGCTGTTTAACTTCTAGTCTCCTCGTATCGAAGATTTCTAATTAAACACTGCTGAGTTTCTTAGCATGCTAGCCGCTCCCTTTAGAGCTCGCCTATACGGTACAATCCTTGGTTCAAAAACTGTTGGCAGCTTGTTATTCTCGTGGTACAAAACCCAGTTGCCGATCCAGACCTTGTCTCATTTTTTTTTTTTTTTTTTCCTTCGAGTCCCCGTTTGGTTTAAAATTGGGGGGGGGGGGGGGGGGGGCCCCCCCCCCCGCCCCCCCTAAACACCCGCGCAAAGGGGAGCAAGGGACGGCCTGGGGGCGCAAACAAAAAACAAACAAAACGCTTCTTTTGAGCTGTCGCGTTGTGGTAACAATCTTGGTTTAAACGCTGTGGTGTTTTTTTTTTTTCTGGTGGTAAAACCCCCATTTCCTGTCCCATCCTTTTTTTTTTTTTTTTTTTTTCGGCCCTGCGCGTCCCTTTTTTTTTTAAAGGGGGGGGGGGGGGGGGGGGGGACTCCCCTGCAGCCGCCACTGAAACTACCGTGCAAGTTGAAGCAAGGGACGCACTGGGGCAGAAAACAAAAACAACACAAAACAAAGAGCTCATAGAATTCGAAATCGTAGTTTTTGTTTTAATTTTCATGTTCCAGTGCTTCTTTTGCTCTTCAACATGAGTTTTAATTTGTACCACGTGAATGGTTACATATAGCTGCAAAAGGACCTTTTACGGGATACAACTTAGAGACTCGGATAGATCATTAGATAGAGAGATTATTCGGAAATTCGTAAGAAGGCCAATTATATATGTGGTCAACCGATAATATTAAGATATTAAGGGTATTGTATTTTAAAATTTAGAAAATTTAAGTGTTCGTATGGGAAAACAACAAAACTTTATTTCTTTTTTTGGATGATAATAGATAAATTACACTTACAGACTACTTGCAAATAGCGAAGCTAATCGAGGCAGGTAGTATGAGGACGTATCACAACACACTTAAATTTCAATATTTTATACAAAGAAAGTTACAAGATAATAAATATGGCATTACATATTAAATACAATAATTACTATAAATATGTTAATCATAAATAAATAAGAGACTAGAGGAATGATAAAAAGACGTAGGATTACCGCCTTACGAAGTCTCAAGCGCTGGGAATATAAATAAACCGTTCTCGACCGTCAAGCGGGTGGACTAGCGACTACTGACATGACAAGTCAAGTATTTTTGGTGTTTTCCTCTTATTTAAAACTCGATCGCTCCTACGAGTTTAAAACCTTTAAAAATCGTAGTGCCACCATATTTTTTTACCCCTTTCTATCTTTCGTATTTTTGAGTTTGTATACCATAGATTTGTATCCCATAATTTTTATAAGAAGAGTCGCGTGACCCCAGGTAAAAAAAGGCCCTAAGTGCCCATGAACTTAAGTCACCTTTCGTGTATTCCTTATTAATGTAAAGTACGAGGCGTAACGTTAAGGCGTAGTTTTAAAGTTGATAGAAACACTCCGGCTCAATAGGCCTTTTTCAAGATAGCGTCATTTTACTCACCAGAGTCCTATTCGCTTTTCCTTCAAGTTCATATTAATTTTGGTACATAGCAAAAGTCTTAATTTGCACACCAAAGCAAAACCCTGTAGGATATATTCTGGTCGTAGTAGCAAAAATGATGTCATTGTGAAAATGGCATGTATTTAACTCTATGGAACATACGAAATACACTGATTAACAACATCCCTCGTCGATTTTAATTTTCTGAAATCGAACATGCAAGCCAAATTAGGAAAAATGCGCTTAATACAAAAACGATGAACTCTCGTTCTATTCTTTGTCAGGCTTTTTACATCGAATGGAAAACCGTGTCTCACTGACGAAGTTTGACTTAAGTAGCAAACTAATAAGTATGCGTGAATAAATGCGTTTGTTTTCATTTTGGTGGATTTGTTCATGTTAATAATCTTTATTATCATTCCATGCAATTTATTCTTCCTTTTCATAAGCCCAAAGCCCACCTCGTGACCTGCAAATAACTGCCATCAAATAATGGTCTGCTTATGCGCAATGTCGCCCATCTGTGTTTGGGCTATGCGTAAACGAAACAACGCTTTCTCTGTCTTGCGATCGTTCTTGAGTGAAAAAAGGCCGATCGCTCTGCTTTCCAAAGATATTCATAAAAAAAAAAACAAACACACAAACTTGGTGATCGAATGATAAAAAATTATTAAAACTCGGTTATCACAAAATATCATGATTTGTCAAAGGTGAGCAGATCAATTATTTGCCAAAGCCGCTAAGGGAAATAATTGACCTGCTCGCCACTGACAAATCACGATATTTTGCGATAACTGAGTTTTAATAATTTTCAACTATTCTTTCATCTTAACTTCAGCTAATACCTCCTGATTCAGTTTGTAACGGCTGACTCAACAGCCTTAAACATTTTCTTTTCTTACGGGAGTGACTATTTATCATTTCCAGTGAAAAAGAATTTAGACACGTTGGCACGACTGTTGAATTGTCCGTAAAATAACGTTTCGGGCCAGGTTGCTCCCATTTTGTATGAACCGGAGCGTACTTCGATCCTTAAAACTATTTTTTAATCTTCATAAACAGTCACTTAGGCTTTCTTTTCTCGTATTCCAGTTTCAACGTAGCTCTTAACAATACTACAAACTTTTGAACTTCGCTCCAGTAGGTAGTTTATAATTGAATGAACCGCTTTTCCCCTTTGAAGCCCGATACAAAGTTCAGGTCTAGATTAGCGTGTTGCTATTATTGACCCTTGCCTAACGTAAAAACGTGGTATTGCATCTTGCTTTACTAGCCAATATATTCTCACCTGCATTGTTTGTGTATTAACATGACTCCAGTGTTTACACCTAGAGTCATGTTCAAAGAAATTTCGTTACAATTGACCGAATCTGAACAAACATATAAAAGAACACAATAAATTGTCATTTCAGTTCCTGCCTTCGATCCTTTCCTTAAAATAGAAGAAAGAAAAACCAACATTTATTTGTCAATCCCTAGAAATTATTCTACTTCTTATTCATCCTCTTCAGTTGCTTTGTTTGCCTCAATAATACTTGTCTTTTCCTTGAATAGCTGATGATGTCATTTGAGACTTAGCAAATTTGGCGTGAATAGCATTTCGCTGACACAGAACCTGTTTCTGTCACAATCCTGAAACATATCATGTTACATGTTCTACACAGTTGAACTAATACAGCTATCATCCACAATCCCTGGCTAGCTTTCGAATAGAATAAAAGTTGAATTTTAGTAGAATAGTTGCAGTGAGACGGTTTCACCTTTGTCGTGGAGAACATGCAGCTTGCTTTGCTATTCCTTCCGCTACTGATTACAGGGACTGCTCTTGGTGAGGCTGGATGGGAAGAAGATGAAGAATACGAAGAGGAAGAAGATGATTCGCAGTTCGCTGAGGTAATCGCCGAAACAGATACTGCCTTGATCCGGTTAAGCTTTAAACAAAAGATAAACTTGGGCTGCCACCAATTACATGTATCGTCGGATATTCAGACTAGATCATATTCAAAAAAATGTAGTTTCGTCTACTCAATCACTTCCTAACAATCTAGGTGAAAATTGCCCCTTTATACATACCTACAAAAGTTAAACGAAAAAAATTAAATGCTTCGGTCAATGTTTAGTCTCGCTCACAGTGATGAAAATTCGTTCCTCTCTCGTTGCTTGCAGAACTACTTAAGACAATACCATTACTTATCAAACACCAGGTCAGGAAATCATGACAGTACCACAGCAATAAAAAATTTCCAGAAATTCTTTGGACTCGAACAAACGGGAGTCCTGGACGATGCAACTTTAATGCAGATGAGAAAGCCCCGATGTGGAGTCCCGGATGTAGATGTTGGTGGAGGGCGCCGCAAACGTTACTCCACAGGTAGCAAGTGGTTCAAGACTGATCTGAAGTATTACCAGGAGTTTGGGGACGATATGTCACACGCTGATCAGATGAGGATCATAACCCGCGCTTTTAAATACTGGAAGGACGTTGCACCGAGACTAAAATTTACCAGAATCAATAATCGAGGCCAAGCCGACTTTTGGGTGAGGTTAGTGGTCTCTTTGCCTTATTTAAGATCAATAATTGTTTAAAATCGACTCAATTTCGACCAGATTAAAAAAAAAAGGGCTCAGGTCTTTGAAGACAATCATTTTTTTTTCTTTAACAAAATCAATATCTATAAATTCCTTGCAAGTGCCCTGAAAAGAAAGGGTGTTTCTTTGGTTCTTAAGTGTTGGGAAACAATTAAGGCCAGATACTTGGAATCGTGTTACATGATAAGGTTTAGTTCGTAGTAACATGGAAATTTCAAATGTAAATATTTTTGTGACAACAGTTCTGAACCGTATTTTTAACTCATTTTCAGCAGTTTGATACTCGAGTACTCCGCCGAGATGGTTTTCCTAGTTTTTGAATTAACTAAAGACTCTTCCATTAGGACAACGCAGTAATTTAGTTTCCGTTGTTCATGAGGCTAACAATTTCTGGTTAGCAATACTGCATCTGCTGCTATTCGGTGAAAGTCCGAGTGATTCGTTTATTCTCAGTAAGCATATATTCATGTCCATTAGCTTTGGACGCAAGACCCACTCTGGTGTACAGGGAGAACGTCAATGCGGTTCCCCATTTGATGGACCAGGGAACGTCTTGGCGCATGCATATTTTCCACCCGATGGACGAATCCATTTCGACGATGATGAGCGATACTCAGAGTTTGGAAGTTCGTCAGGGTTTTGGTGGTGGAAAAAGCATACTTGGGGACTTTTGTGGGTAGCGGTACACGAGATTGGACACGCATTGGGTCTACATCACTCTGATGTTAAAGGCTCAGTGATGTGGCCTACAGCAAGCAAAGGAGCACCGAAATTGCACCAAGATGACATAAAAGGCATAAGGTCGCTCTACGGTAAGTTTTCAATCACTCATCTCATCCACCTCCTTGATTTAGAATTTTGCTCAAATTCATCAAGCGCTGAATCTTACTAAGCTACGCTAGTTTTAAAGGAAACCATGGAAGCCAACGTATTCCTCAAACACTGATTTAAAGAAGTCCAAGTGCTTCGTGTAAAACGAACGATTTACAAAAGTAGCTCTTATTTTCCAACTGTAAAGCTACAGCTACAGGGTATAAATTAAACCTTTGACAAAACAAATCATTGAATAGATACCTGGCTTAAAATTTAAAATGAATCGATTACTAAGGTCTGTCAGAAAAAAAAAAAAACCTGTAACAAAATCTTATATTCTGGCGCTTTTATCCTTTGTAAATGGATTCACTCTAAGCGGGTCATCTGTGGGATAACTTGGGGGACAATGTTGGCGACAATATGGAACAATTTGCAGACTGGCTTTGGAATGAGAGTTTTAAAAAAAAATGGACGATCTACATGATGTATGAAGAGGCTTGCTTGGCTTATGGACTAAACGTCTTAAACAACGCAACTAAAGAAAGGTATAGCAGGCTGAACGTTGGTATCAAGAAACCATTTAATTTATTAGGATTTATTTAATATTCTATTATTAATTTATTAATTCATGAATTATCGATATTATTCATTTAGCCATTTATTCATTTAACTAATTATTATCTATTGCAGGATAGACGAGACAACCCGGAAAGCCGAAACATATCTTTAATCACCTACTTCGTTAAATAAGTCCTCTTTGGCAACTTTCAATAAACAAGCAACATATAATGACCCAAATCGAACGTTTATGACATTAGCAAGCAACTTCCTTTCGCTCGTGTTACGGCATTTTCAAGGACCAGTTTATTTTTAGAACGGTTTTGGCGCGAATGTTGAATATCTTTTAAATTCCACAAACCAGTCAACAACACCTACAAACCTAAAAATGTTTTTTTATTATTATTATTTATTTATTTATTTATTTTTTGTCGTTTAATAACTTTTAGTTTTCATTTTTGGTATTTTATACTTCGAATGCGCTTATAGACATGGTGGATAATTATTCTATTTTTGCGTGAAAAAAGTACCCAAAAATATATCTAAAAATAAACTCACTAGGTCCTTAAAAAAAGCCGTGACATAGGCCTAATATGGGAGATCCATGCTCGCTCCGGGTTATGGCCTCCTTCTGCCAGGCCAGAAAAACTGCCAACCCCTTTAACTCCGTCACTCCCGGTAATCCCGGTCGGCCGGCTTCACTGTTGCTATCGTGCCTTTACTGACTAATGAGAGTCGGTGCACCGATTCGTTTCCTCATTTTCCCATGATAAGAAGGAGGGGTCTGTTAGGATCAAGGCTACTTACAATTGCGTGCCGGATCCAGACTTGAGATAAGGGGGGAGGGGGGGGGCGGTCATACAGACCCTTAGATAAGGGGGGATTGGTCTCCCAAAAATTTTTTTCGGCCCTTGGGGCCTCAGTTTGGTCTAACAATAAGGGGAGGGCAAGGGCCCCCGGGGCCCTCCCCTGGATCAGCCACTGCCATTTACATGGGACAACCGGAATTCCGGATAAAAAATCAAATAGTACGCGCCATTCTGATTGGGAAGCTTCAAAAAGACTATGCAAATTATAAAAAAAAATAACGAAAAAAATTAATCCCTATTTGCACGAGAAGAGGTTGTCGCTTGTCAAGAAAAAGTAATGGCCTTTCAACTCTAAATAAGTACTGTAATTGATGAAGTGAAATTAAATAGGATTTTGTCAGTCCAAATCACAGTTTATAGATTTATTTGAATATTAATTAATAAATCTAGAAAGCAGAGTTTTCGCGTTTACAGAACATCTACAAAAACTTCACACACCGAAACAAAATACTGAAAGGCATCAATGCGTTATGGTTTTACTCAGAATAGTAATTGAGCTTTAATTAAAGGGAGAAAACCATTAAAATACTGAATTGCGGTAAAACAACCATACACCACTGGTGAGATGAATATTTGATTGAACAATTTTCAACTCGCCAAAAGCGAATGACTGTTACTAAAAGTCATTAGCCACAGGTAAATTAAAAAAACTCAGTTACGAAGACGACAACAATAACTGCCTCATAGACTGTTAGTACTGAAAAAAAAAGGCCCATAATGTACGCTTTCAGGGGCAAACAAATGACAACACACAGAGGAAATTTTATCAGGGGCATCCAACGACTGTTTTCTGTAAATATATTTTTGGAGAAGCAAATATTGCCTAGAATTTTCTTTTGCTTGAGGACGGCTACAAATGTCTAGATGAAGGTTCCATTCATCAAATTATACAATTTCGAAGTTTATCTAATAAGTTCGCTACGATTTTCTGAAACTTAATTTTTCACATTTTACTCCCCAAGTAATGCTGTTTTTCGTAGAAAAAGGAAACCTAAAATTTTCGGATTCAAAAATGTGATTGAGATGGGAGTCAGAAAAATTCTCAGATTCGTAAAACCATAAATTGCATCTAAAATTTTCGGGAAAATAAAACTGAAGTCCTTGTAATTTCAAAAATAATTAAAATCCCTTAGGATGACCGAATAGATACAAATTTTATAGCTGGTGGCTGGTCCAGGGAAGGGGCCCTCCTCCCCCCCTATTTTTGGACCAAACTGTGGCCCTAGGGGCCTAAAATTTTTTTTTGAGACCAACCCCCCCCCCCGACCCCCATCTCAAGGTCGTACGAACAAAACTATTGTGTTGAAAATTCAAGCAAACACTTGCCCCTATGATAAACTTCAGTTTTACTGATACAGACTACTGAGTCAGAATAAAATTAGAGCATGCACATTTACTGAGATGTTTGGAGGAGACAGTACAAATACTTCATCGCAAAGGAAATCGCTGACGAAGTCCCTCCAAATAAAAACGACGAGGGATCATTTTCTAACCAGCGAAATTTGAGTTGCCATATCAACGACATTTCAACTGCAATATCCGTCGAACGTAAACATCTTTCTCCAAAACGATCGTTTTACAAGTAGCGTCTTCCTTCACTTTCCCTAACAGTTAACTGCACAGCAATCGTTTTATTTCACTGTTTCAAAAGTACACCCTATTTTTAAGTCTGATGAAAGAAATATTCCAAGCAACTATCGACCGATTTCTATTCTACCTGCCATTTCGAAAATTATAGAAAGGGTCATGCACTCTTAGCGGTTAGAGTATTTTCAAGCAGGTAATCTTCTAACTGAGTCTCAATCTGGCTTTAGACCTAATCATTCAACCTCTACAGCTTTGATAAGTGCAGTAAACCTTTGGTTTGCTAACATGGATGCTGATAAACTTAATGGTAGTGTATTTATCGAGTTAAAGAAAGCCTTCGACACTGTTGACCATAACATCTTACTACGTAAGCTGTATTGTTATGGTGCTGCTTAAGTCATATTTGACTGACAGAACACAGAGATGTTATGTAAATGGAGTCTTATCCACAGAACAATATGTATCATGTAGCATTCCCCAGGGCTCTATACTTGGACCACTATTGTTCATAATTTATATAAACGATTTTCCCAAATTTCTACGACATACAACGCCTGGTATGTTTGCCGATGATACGTATATAACTACAGCTCATGAAGAAATATCCACAATTGAGTGTTCTTTGAATACTCACTTAATTGCGGTACATAATTGACTTAAGACAAACAAATTGAGCTGCAATACTTCTAAAACTAGTTATATGACAATTGACTCTCGGCAAAATTTGGCAAATGCCAAGTTCATGAATCTAGAATTGGATAATAGACCTATTGAACATAAACCCTCTACTAAGTTACTGGGAGTTCATATTGATGAAATGCTAACCTGGGATAATCAGATCAAACATATTTCATCCAAAGTCTCTAATGGCTTGCGAATGCTGTATTTAGCTAGAAAACTAACCGATAATCAAAAGACTCTTAAAACTATTTACTACTCACTTGTGCAGCCCTACTTTGACTATTGTGATGTTAATCAGATGTACTAAATTCTTTAGAGTGGTCAAACTTAGAAGAAAGAAGAAAAAGACACCTATTAGTTACGATGTTTAAAATATTCAATAATAATTGTCCGACGTACCTTCGGGAGCAGTTTCATAGAACCTGACCTAGTTATTAAAAAAGACTTTATAAGCTAAATGCATAAACAGATTTAGTCGCTAAGTTGAGATCGCAAAAATTACATTTTCCCAGAGTGACTAAGATGGGGGTCTCTGTTTGGCCACATAATAGACTATTGTAGGGTAGGGGTTCTGAGAGGCCAACGGCACAAACCCAGAAAAAATTAACCCAGGTACGCCCCCACCCCCTCCCCTATGGGGTCTTGAAATAAAAAGCTGTTGCAAAAGTTAATTGCAAAATACGTATTCGACTGCTATGAGAAAAGAAGATCATTAGTGTTTAGGTTAACATTGATTATAGTTCCACTAGTGTGCAATTTGTGTTATAATTTTAAATTATTTTGATAAAGTGGATATACATAGGACTGTATAAGACTCCAAATAAAATATTGTCTTATCTTGTCTTGTCTTGTTTTATTTTACGATAGCACTTGAGAGAGGAACCGACTATAACATTGAGTTGACATCTCATATCTCTATTAAAGTTTTTTTTTTTTCGGTCCCGAAACCAAATGTCGTACAATTTCCACCTACTCGGCATTTCAGTAAGGCCTTAACGAAGCCGGTATGAAAAATACCTATTTTTTGAAAACACACGTAAATTTTAACTCAACGTTTCATTGTACCGGATAGGATGGAAGACTCATTTGGTCTGTCGGAAATCAAAGATTAGATATGATCAAAGCTAAATATTCCTTTTTAGATTCTTAATTACTCCTTTGAAGTGATCTCAAAATCTAATGGGGACTTTTTTCCGAAAGGTCTTTTGTTGTACCATTAAAAGTAGTTCTTATACACCATCGTCGCAGACTTTGTTTTAATCTTGGTTCAAGAAACATTGCTGTACAGTAACACTGTAAGTATGTTTTAAACTGTTTTATTAACTTTAAGGCCCTGTCCATACTATGCTAGAAAAATTGTCCACCGAAAAGTCTTCCAAAACGCTGTCCAGAGTAGATAAGTTTGATATCACCGGCTTTGCGTCGTCGTCACCCGTTTTCGCCCAAAGTCCTGGCAAAAAATGGATGCGTTTTAAAATTTCCGTAGTGTGGAATGTAAATAATTTATCTGGCGTTTTCAAAGTCAATCGATCGATCTTTCTTTTCCAGTAAAACTGGACTAATGTTAAGGTCATGGCTCAAAATGTTATCTTGTTAGGTGTGTAAAATGCCTGAATCGACTGCTTGAGCAAGTAACCGGAAAACATCGTTCTTCACTCTTTCTAACTTTTCAAAGTGGACTTGTATAAAAATAAGATTTTAAATGATGCGCTATACAATAACACCAGACAGGATAGTTTTTGGTCCAGAATTATTTTAAATGAACTTTATGGATTTAAATGTCTTTTATTTGAAAAATCACACCATTCCAAGATTTGGACTGTGGAGAAAAAGACGTCGATGATATTACTGCCCATATCCCTCATTTCAGTTAAGGTGTATCCAAAACGAACTCATATCCCAAAGAAAAAAATCCTCATATCTGATTCTACTCAGAACCGGGTGATATACCGTCATCACGGATTTAACATCATAAAAAAAGATATCTACAAGAGAACTGCATTACAGCTTAAAACATGTACCAGTATTTTGAGTCTCAAACCATGAAAATTTTCAAAATGCTTCACACTGAAAGAGGGGCCATGACATGAGAGACCTTATCGGATGAATTGAAGACAACGACATCAGTCGATGAATTTTGAAAACAATTTAAAACCACTTTATGTAAAGCCGCAAAATGTACCTTTGTCTTCAAGACTGAAAGCACGCTAATGACCATCTAGCTCAAATAACATTTTAGGAGCAAACCTTTTCTAATCCATTTCTCCTGATTGCCATTCAATCATTCGCTTTTCTTTCATTGTCCATTGTGAGTGCTTTTGCAGGTGTATTCCTCAACATTTATCATTTTTGGCAATCTCATTTAGCACAAACTTCTAGTAAACAATACCGGAAAATCTTAATTGCGGAGGTCCAATATTTAAAGATTTTTTTCTTTAGCTATCATTTGTAGACCAGGCGTAAGGTAAATGGTGCACTATTCCTTACACGGAAGAAAATTACAAAGCTATCGGATGCCAGATCGTGGGAATGCGCAACTGTTTAACACCATCTGATGATGATAACCGAGTGAAACCAGCGCATAGTCGGTTATCGAATTTGTTCCATTTCTTTCAAGCGATTCTAGATCCTAGCTCCCGATGGATTTCTTTCTCTTCGATGCTCGAATGATTCTTTTACACGAATTTCCAACTGTGTAACAACACCATACAAGTAAGTATTAGCTGGAAATTTCAACGTCATGTAGGATTGAAAATGAACCAACATTTTTGTTCTTGTTGTTGTAAAGTTGTTGTTGTTCAATCGGCCTTCAAACACCCTTAATGTCAGTTTTCGATTGCTGATTACAGTAGATCAACACAGTGTCAATATTTTCCCTTTTATTCCCAACCAAAATTAACCAAAAGCAACTCATTCGTTCATTCGTCCCATAACCAAAGTCATGCGCACACGCAAAATTTTTCCGACTCCTACCAATGGTTTTAAAAACATTGAGGTTCTCTTGAATCTCCCTTTCAAAGTGCATGATTTAACAATAGTGAAATTCATCACCAATTTCGGATCTATTACAAAGGGGGTAAAGTCTCTCAACTCTGGGTATCTTCTTGTAACGCCCAGATTCAATGGGTAGCATGCGCAAGCAGCACGAAATCCGCATTTTGGTTACTGCCACTCTTGTTCTTAACGTTGTTTAACATAGCGCACTTTAAAAAAAACAAGTGGAATAATCAAAACTGAGGAAACTGCCTCAGTTTATTCAGTACTGAATTTAATAGATGGTTTTTCATTTTTAACAGTCTTATTTAACATAAATCATCTAGTAAACAAGATCGAAAAATCTACACAGTGAGAGGGGCGAGGATTATTTACCTTTCATATGACTACTGAATTGGATATTTCTCTGATTACTAAATAACTTTCACAAGAACGGCAGAGGAAAGAAACGTTAAACCTCGTGTGAGAAGATTTTGGTTAAAAAACAAACCCTCCAAAATTTTTTTTTCGGCCTTCGGGATTCATGATCAGTTTGGTCTAAACATTGAGGGGGCAGCCCCCTCGGGCCCTTCCCCTCGATCCGCCACTGTAGATTTCAATACATTTAGCTTTTACTGACTTGAGAACGGTGAAAAGCTGGTACCGAAACATCTTCGTCTTATAACCTTTTTTGCCTGATACTTCACTGAAGCTATTTAAAAGTCTTAATTAATAACTTTAACTCGGAGTATTTTCCATAAAGGAAATCATTTCTCTTGCATTCCTTTCAGAAGAAATCAAGATAAAAATGTCACCTTCCATTGCCTATAACACCACGACAAACAGCTCTAGCTCGACACTATTACCCAGACACATGTCAAACTATACAGAGAGGCAGTTTCGATTGGTTTTCCTGTGGTTAATTATAGCAGTGGGACTCATTGCCAACTCGTTCATCGTTGCTGTGATCAAGATATTTCGTAGCATGAGAACAACAACCAACTATTTCCTGCTGAACGTAGCTGCCGCGGACATCACGACGCTTATCTTCACTGCGATCCATCTCATCATTCCAAAGATGGTCCCTTTTCGGCAAGGTGCTCTGAGCAGCTTCCTCTGCAAGTTCATATACACCAATAACATCACCATGGTAACCCTTCTGGTAACCGCACTCACTTTGACTCTCTTGGCAGTGGAGAGGTACCAGGCCATGGTCAAGCCGCTGATCACATCTAGGAGAATCGACGTCGAAAGGGTCGCTTACTTCATAATTGGCATTTGGATGGTATCTATTGGAATGACAACACCACTCTTTGTATCCGTGGATTACCGATCTAAGACCGGCTGTTCTCCAGGCAACGATTTGAATGAGATGAGAGTATACGTCACTTGCCTTATCATTACATTGACTTTGATCCCTTTCGCTGGCATAGCCTTCTGCTATTCAAGGATCATATCCGGTTTATATTGCGACAAAACAATTTGCAGCGGGGCTCATGTTTATTCGCAGAAGGACATGGCAGAGAAAAAAAGACTGTTAGTTCTTTTCGTTGTTCTGACATCCGTGTTTTTCGTATCATTTGTCCCTTACGGAGTCGTGTTTATTCTTCAGTTTAGTGGAAAGGAAAGTGCTGCTCATTCTCAAATCTTCGCTCGTCTCAGGATGTTTGTACAGTATTTAATACTTTTGAACTGTTCCCTGAATCCCTTCATATATGCGGCTCCAAGTTCCAATTACCGATACTGCCTCAAGTACATCGTCAAAAAAATATTCTGCCGTGATAGTCCGGAAGAATTATATGCTATTGAGTTACCCAAAAGGAGAGGTTTTTTCGCGTAAAGTAGTGCCACAGAATTAAAGTTAGGAAGCAAATCGTGTTTTGAAGCGTTAGCATGACGCTAATTCTAATCTTGCATTAGAGTGCATTGAATAAAAATGGTTTCTTGGAGAATATTAGAGTGTAAGCATGGTTTTAAGTGGCGGGTTCCTTTTAACGCTAAGTTGTGAATTCACCCAATTGAAAAAAGTCACCTAAAAGCCTTTTATCTTTCAAAATTTGTTGATGAATCAACAAATTTAATTTGCACTTTCGATTTGATTTGCACTTTATCTAGCAATAGTTTAAATGTAGGTTATTGCACTAATTTGTATTCAATTAAGCCTGGAAGTGGGAGAATTCACAATATACTTATTGTCATAGTTTTTAATTCGTCTCTGCTTATCCTAAATATCTTAAGAAACTGTTTGCTCCTCGCAGCTCCACGTATTTTTTAAGAGGAAATAATGAACTGGCATTACCTGAACATAGGACAACCAGTTGAGGACGACGTCCTTAAGAAGTATGAATTCTCGTCACAATTAATTTTAATAATTTTCAATATATTTCAGTAGATTTACTCTGTAAACTCGAGATAAAATAAAAGTTATGTTATGTTCTGTTCTGTTATGGTATGTTATGGTATACTATCTTATTATCGTTGTCACAGTTGTTGCAAAGAATTTTGTTGGAGGGTAGAAATTGTCATCATGGCGCTGGAACTATCTGCCATTAAGTTACCGACGTCGTCGTTATGAAAAACTTGCAGAAATTTTGGATGATGTTCCCCTCCGCTTGGACGTTTGACGATCAACGGGAAATTGGATAAAACTTTCACCTATATCCTGTAGGTTACGGCTGTGCTTAGACAAATGAAGTCATTTTAAAAATAGCACAATAAAAGAAAGTCAATACTTATAGCATTTTATACTGTTTATATATTATATGCATTGCTTTCGAGAAGTATCCTGAGAAAAATCCCACTCGAACATCAGATGGACACGTTTTTCTATGTTTTAAGAGGTATCTTCGTTATCTAACTGGAGTAGATAAAAAAAGAAAGAAAGAAAGAAAGAAAAGAAAGAAATTACCACGTTCTGTTAAGCTGGCAAAGTGAACATCATTTTTTGAGATGTGACAATTACATTCCTGCCACGATCGTTACATTCTCTACAATGTATTAGTGCGGTGTTCGTCTTCTAAAACAAATACTACACGACTGCAAGTTTTTTGAAAGGCTTAATCCCTGATATAGATCAACTCATTCTTGCACTAATATTTAGACTTGGCCTAAATTGGTAGTAATGTTTAGCGTGCCGTGTCTTTATCAGATATAAAGACGCTCTTTAAACATTAAGGGTCGGTTATTTAAACGAGGTCTAACTTAGACCGCCGTTTAAGAAATCTTTGGACCTCCAGATCTCTTTTTTAGTGGGTCAATTTAAGAAGATAAATGCTTTTCTAATCTACACTATATGCTTTAATTATACTGTTCACGACAAATGGTGCTTAGAAAAAAGCGTTGCGCAAACTGAAAATTACTTAGCACGCGGTTTTGTTAAACAGTGGTTAAACTCCGTTTAAATAACCGGCCCTAAATATTTTGTTTTTATGAATTATTAATGAGTTTTTGAATTCAGGCAGGCAAGCAGAATGAGTTTTTTGAATGCAGTGGATCATGGCCATAATCTAAGATCTTGTAAGACTAACCCAGCGCACCTCAGAATAATAATAGACAATTTTATTAAAAAACTATTAAAATCCTATTTACAATTAATTCGCTTAAAAAAAAAAAAAAAACTATTCATTCAAAAAAATTATTTACAATTTCTGTAGATTAAAAAAACACTTAATTTAGCTAAAAAAAAAATTAATTAAAACTAAAAAAATTTTTTCAAATTAAAAAACATTTAATTTAAAAAAAAAAAAAAAACAGTCAACCTCTAAAATTCAAAAGTTTCTTTCAACTGCTAAAAAACAATCGAAAAAAAAAATACCTGTAAATACCTGTATCACTGCACTGTTAGGCACAAACAATCGTTTCTTCCTAGAGGCGATTATTATTATTATTATTATTATTATTATTATTATTATTATTATTAGGCTAAAGTAAGCAACCGTTGCAGACCCAGGGAAAATAAATACCAAAGAGTGCATGGTATTTCTATTTCAGTTAATAATTTGCATATTCAATCTGAGTTCTCGAGATAATCCCCACTTATCCGGTCTGCGATGTCATTTTATGTAAGGACATTTTCTATATTATCCCGATATTTCCTTCTTATCTGAATAAGATTTATTGGAATAATAAGAGTGGATGATTAATTTAACCGTCGTGTTCTGTCTGTTTATAGCATTTTCAAGCCGGGAGAAATATTATTAACGGAAATAGATTTATTTCAAAACTAATATTAGTTTTTTAAATTAATTTTAATGTGGCTTTATCAAAATTAATTCACTTACAACGACTAGTATTGTAGTTTTCGCAGCAAAATATATCTTAAAATAATTTTAAAGAGTTGCAGTACGACTTTGAAATGATGCCAACAATAAAATAACAGAAAGATATGCTCTCCATCAGCTGCATGTATTGTAAAGTTTGCACTCTCTGCGGGACAGATTAAAGAAGGCTGCAATATCCGGCCGAATGATTAAAACTGTTTGTCCTTTTCTTCAATCTTTTGATACATGACAATTCAAAGTTTTTTAGCATTTAGGAACAAAACGGTAGCCCATACTTTTCTTCCATCGTTCGACAACGCAAATAGCCGTCTCTGTCAAGAAAGGTTGTTGAATTAGTCAGATGACGTTATTTGCAAAGCAGCCAGTCAATATAACGTTATTTCCTATATTTACTACGTTTCTTTAATCAAGTCGAGCAAAGATGCTCCTAAAGAATTATTCCCCTAACGTCACTAATTATTTTTGTCACATTCATAAAACAGGAAAATACAGTAATAAATTAATACAGAATTGGTGTAAGATGACTGAAAACCATAAAAAAAACACTGTTTAATCATCCTAGCTTAGCTATCAAATTTTGAAAAATAATAACGGCTAGTTCAAAGTCGATTTGCTCTCAGGTGTGATGCCGAAAGTTTTTCGCCGAGACGAAATCGTTTTATTATCAAAGGTAACAGCTGATTGTGAAAAATGACGGAAACAAACCTTGCCGCTAATAGCTTTTCAGGTGGGGCGTGTGGAAATGAAAACGCAATTTGGTCAATGTTCAATCAAAATAATGTCAATTCTTAGTATCGTTTTAAGGCCTTTTCATAAGCTGCAATTGTTAGTTGGCACTGTGAATCGGTTGCTCACGAAACGTTTGAAATCTACGGCGCAGTATAAAAAGTTACATTTTAACTGTTTTTAAACGGTGGCGATCTCTGTGTGGGTTTTTGTTTTTGTATACGTCGACAAGTGTCAGTTTCCCCCAAATTATGCATGATGAGATCAGGGGCACCACACGACTGTTTTCTGTAAAATATCTGTTCGGAGAAGCAGAAATTCCCTAGAATTTTCTATAGCTCAAGGAAGGCTAAAAATTTATATATTACCTTTTCATTTCAAGTAGAATTTTCGAAGCTACTCTAATAAATTTCCTATCATTTTGTGAAGTTTAATTTTCGCATTTCACTCCCCAGGTTAAGCTATTTTTAGTAGAAGAAAGGAAACCTAAAATTTTCGGATTGCAAAATGCAATGGAGAAAGGAATCAGAAAAATTCTCGCTTTCGTAAGACTTTAAATTGATCTCAGAAAATTTACACGAAAATAATACTGCATCCCTTGTAATTTCGAAAAGACTTGAGGTGCCCGAGGATCACCGAATAGATTCAGTTTTTTAGCAGCGCTAAGAATGCATTTCTGGAGATCTTATAGTACTCTGTATAGCCTAAAAAGTTTTTTCATGCATTTAGGAGGAAGCCTTCGTTAGGTGCCCCTGATGAGATATAGATAATGTAATAAATAGTACGTGCGGCGACTACCTATGCAAATAAACTGCCTCCAACGTTATGCCACAAAATAATTTGTTTCTAATTACACGTTTTCCTATTGGACGTTATAGATGTGCAGCGATCCATAATCGCGTCTGGATATGATAGCTTTATATTAGTATTTCGGTTGACAAGAAAAACTCACAACCCTGCAATTGGCCGCAATAAGAAGACCAAGCCTAAGGGTGAGAATTTTATATAATTTTTATTGTAGGAATGTCACCTATTTTAGTTTTACATTGTTGAAACTTTAAGCTCCTTTATCTTAAAGTGTGCCACAACCGAAAATTAATTTTGAAAGTTACAAAATTCTCACTCAAAATATCAATTTCAACATATCTTTAAATAAGCGTCAAGAACCAAAGGAAATCTATCTTTGAACTGGGAATGTTATCGTAAATGGTTGAAAATTTAGAATCGCTGTAAACGATAAGAGTTTAATGTTTATTATGTGCGATGGTTTGTTTTTGTTGTTATTTTGTATTGTATATTTTTTTTGTTCTTAGCATAAAGATCGCTATCGGAATCAGTTTGGTGGCCGCTTTTTATAATTACACCCTTCGTCTCGACCAGTTTTTCATCTAACTTTTTGTTCACGACTACGAATCGAGGAGCGCAATTTCTATAAATTATAATTAAAAGCAAAAAGCAGATTCTGAAACACATTTTTTTAAATCTTTGAGACTGAGTTATTTAACGATAAAGAAGCTCACCAAAATTTATTTGGTCGGTATCAATTTAAATGTTCTTCTGTGAATACAAAAATATGACCATCAAACCTCCCTACCACCTTACATTTTCTAGCGCATGTTTAGATCCGCGTTTAAAAGCATAATGTGACATTTCCTTGTTCGAACTCAAATTAGCCTTCTGACGTTTAAACAAACAAGGTAGGACCAGCTGTACAAAGTTATTTTAGGACCCGGGAAGTCACCTAGAGGACAAAGGCCAGGGGGGATCCAGGATTTTTGTTAGGAGGGGGTGCACCACATCAAGGAAGTACCATTTTAACTACCATTTTTACGGA